ACATCAGCTGTATGTGACCAGGCGAAAAAACCTTTCCAAACCATGTCATAACCGCTACACACATCCTACATCGTTGTCCCCATATTAGCTAAAGTAATGTCCTAGTCAACATAGCTAATAGAACTAATGCTTTAGTAAACCCACTACAATCATGCAGTAATGTTACAGTGTACAGTCAGTAAGCAGTTACACCGGCGGGCCCCGGTGGCAATAAATTAATAAAACCAAAAGCTTACCTTGACTTGGAAGAGTTCCAGTGTTGTGTTGGATAGTCATAGCCAGCTAGCTAACATAGCATCCCTGTGTAAAGTAGCCAGCTGCATTTGCTAGCTAAGTAAGTGACACTGAAAGTGAAAAAGAATGACGATATCTCTCTCTCTTGCTTCTCCTTAATTTTTGAAGAAATTAATTTGTTAAAAACTGTTCAAGTATTGTCTTTCTCTCTCTTTGAGTCAACTACTCACCACATTTTATGCACTGCAGTGCCAGTTAGCTGTAGCTTATGCTTTCAGTACTAGATTCATTCTCTGATCCTTTGATTGGGTAGACAACATGTCAGTTCATGCTGCAAGAGCTCTGATAGGTCGGAGGACGTCCTCTGGAAGTTGTCATAATTACTGTGTAAGTCTATGGAAGGGGGTGAGAACCAACACCCTCCTAGGTTTTGTATTGAAGTCAATGTACCAAGAAGAGGACGGAAGCTATCTGTCCTCCAGCTACACCATGGTGCTACCCTACAGAGTGCTGTTGAGGCAACTGTAGACCTTCATTGCAAAACAGTGTGTTTTAATCAATTATTTGGTGACATGTGAATATAGTTAGTATAATTTTATCTAAAAACGATAACTCTTTCAATATTTAAAATTTTGTATTTGTATGAAATTCACTGAGGAGGATGGACCTCCCCTTCCTCCTCTGAGGATTCTCCACTGGTCTGTATGCAAGCAGAACACCAGTAGTAAATGTGACCTGTATAATGTGAAAACATTAGGGGGACTTTGCATAGACATGTAAATGTTTGCAGCTGAGTAAATACTCCTCCAATTATAGCCAGTCAGTGGAGGAGCCAGCCACTTGCAGAGGGAGACAAAAGTGTAAAAATGGACCCGAATGCATTGAGCTTAATTTAAACCCAGCTGGTGCATCGGAGATACTGCTCCTCTCAGCACAGATAAGAATGCCACAGCTTGCAGAACTTAAGCCGGGTTACAGCAGCTCCCTATTGTCCACAAGGAGGATAAACTTAACTCAGGTCAGCCAAGTTTTTTTTTCGGCCTCACAATCACGGCCATTTAGTAGTGGAAGTCTCCAGACAGAGAGAAGAAAGGAAGGGGGCCGGTGGAAAATGTGACAGTTTGGCTGAGGGGCTGAATGGAAATCCAGAGACAATATTTTGGGCCAATCCAAGGAAAGCAACCGTTTTTTCATAGGGATCAGGATTCAGACAGTGTTGGCCACCAGAGGGATGGTCCTTTCAGGGGATCATTCAAATAGCAACACTGACCCCAAAGTTAGCGTGCCTCTGTCTGGCAGTCAACAGCTTTTGTACTGTGTGCTGTGTGTCTGTGTGTGTGTGTAACCAACCTTCACTTTCTTCAAACAAATGCAAAAGCTGGCCTGGACAGCTGTGGTTGTCGACAGTACAGCCCCCCTCTCCTCGCCCCTCCTCGCCCCACTCCAAAACAGCATTGGCGCTTCTTCAGCACATGGGTTTTTTCCTGCCAAAAGCAGTATTCAAGTATTCAAGTAGTCAAAATTGGTTGATTGGTTTTAATATAGGAGAAACGTTGTCATTGGCAGATAAAGCACTGATGAAATCATGGTGAAAGTATGAGACTCTGTCTGAGGGCCTCTTCACACACGGTAAAGCTACGGTTGCAAAGGGAGGGTATATTACTGGAAGCTTTCAAAGTTTAGCAGTAAACTACCAGAATTGTTGTATCTTTCAAGGATTTTATGTAATCTATCACAAGACATCTAGAGGCCCTTTTGGGTACTTCAGATTATCACAGGTGTTTGTAATTATCTCTGGCCCTCTGTGTGGCCTTATCACTTGTAAAATATATAAAATAAATTATTAAGATGATTTGAAAATAAAACAATTGAATGAAAAAGCTGTAAAACATTCTCCTAAATATAAACCATAAACTTAGTGAATACCATTGGTGTTTAATATGAGGGTGAAATATCCGTACATGAAATATCCGTACATTTATTTTACACCCTTATATTTATTTTACAATGTCAGTATGTATTTGTTGTCAGTGTTTTGCCGTCAAACTGGTGGCAGTTGTGAAAAAAGTAAATAGTTGGAAGAGTTAATTGAAAATAATGCCATTGGTGATTAGATACTTTTTTCATTAATTAGGCTATTTTTTCTTGAACCATTTGGTCTATCTACTAGAAACTCATGGACAATATGGACACAGATATAAAAAAGGAATATTATATATTAATATATATATATATATTTTAAAGTTATTCAAGTATAAATTACCAAAGTTATGATAGATTGCCATAGATTTTGTGTTAATTACCAAAATGACTGAAGATTCTGGTAACTTTGGTAAATGACCGGTAGCTTTGCAACTCTAGGTAGAAGAGCCATGTTCGTCCAGGAGAGGCAGAAGGTTTAGGTCGCTCTTTGTCAGGATGAAAGACGGCACTGAAAGGAACTGGGATACCGTTTGGGGATCCTTGGATTTGGGAGTGAATCAGAAAGATCAACTATGCCTCCATAAGAAAGAAAGACATTTAGAGGGAGTCAATGACAATCACAAAATGCAGACCATTCCTATTATTAAGAAAAGTAGTCTTGAAACCAAATGTTTGAAACTTAAAAACTTGAAAACAAATCACACATTTGACAGATAACAATAAGTAACTTGTCAATTATGAAATGACACCAAGTTAATTCAATGAGTTCTGTATTTCTGTATTTCTGTTGTCATGTCACATATAGAGCAGCTCTTGCATATGTACAGTTCTAATCTCTTTAGGAATGCTTATAGGCACAGTGACATTGAAAAATATAATAGATTATTCTAAGCAGCATTTTAAGTTTGTAAAATGTACAACAAACAATTTCATTTTTAAAGATCAAATATCTACAAGTGCTTCTTGTTACAAAAATACATATTGTTCATTGCAGCACAGAGACGTTTCAAAGATTATTCGGTCTAAACATTTACTTTGCTAACATTTAAAACCACTACAGCTGGGTTTTTAGGGAAAATAAGAGATACCATTTCAAACAGGAAAAAGCACATGTGTGTAACAGGAAAGTACACAAGAATGCTATGTAGGCTTCAAAGTTTTACTTGTGGAGATTTGTAAAGACTTTTAGGCCCTTCCAGAAATTGGTGTCCAATCTGTCCATTGATTGGTTCGCACATAACTGCAAATGAACATCAAATAACTATTGACAGACATTTACTGTATGGAAAGTCCTATTACAGTGGCAAATTGCACACCAAGTTTTGTTTCCTACCAAGAAGACTTCAGTATGTTAGGATAATTATATCTCTGTTAAAATGTAACAGATAAAATACAACCACTGCTGTCTCTCTCTGCTCTTATTCTTTGGTGTTTCGAGGAGAGTGAGAAAAAGATGAATGGTATACAGTGCCTTCAGAAAGTATTCATACCCCTTGACTTATTCCAAATGTTGTTGTGTTACAGCCGGAATTCAAAATGGATGAAATAGTTTTTTTTTTTTTTACACAATATCCCATAATGACAAAGTGAAAACATATTTTTAGACATTTTAGCAAATGTATTGAAAATGAAATACAGAAATATCTTGTTTACATAAGTATTCAAACCCCTGAGTCAATACATGTTAGAATCACCTTTGGCAGCGATTACAGCTGTGAGTCTCTAAGCGCTTTTCACACCTGTATTGTACAATTTGCACATTATTCTTTTTATAATTCTTCAAGCTCTGTCAAGTTGGTTGTTGATCATCGCTAGACAGCCAGTTTCAAGTCTTGCCATAGATTTTCAAGCCGATTTAAGTCAACACTGTAACTAGGCCACTCAGGAACACTCAATGTCGTCTTGGTAAACAACTCCAGTGTATATTTGCCCTTGTGTTTTAGGTTATTGTCCTGCTGAAAGGTGAATTTGTCTCCAGTGTCTGTTGGAAGGCAGACTGAACAAGGTTATCCTCTAGGATTTTGCCTGTGCTTTGCTCTATTCCATTTATTTTACTCCCTAGTCCTTGCCGATGACAAGCATACCTATAACATGATGCATCCACCACCATGCTTGAAAATATGAAGAGTTGTACTCAGTGATGTGTTGTGTTGGATTTGCCCCAAACATAACGCTTTGTATTCAGGATATAAAGTTAATTTCTTTGCAACATTTTTTTGCAGTTTTACTTTCGTGCCTCATTGCAAACAGGATGCATGTTTTGGAATATTTTTATTCTGTACAGGCTTCCTTATTTTCACTCTGTCATTTAGGTTAGTATTGTGGAGTAACTACAATGTTGTTGATCCATCCTCAGTGTAATTATAACTTCACCATGCTCAAACGGAAATTCAATGTGTTTTGTTTTTTTACCCATCTGCAAAGGCATAGGAAAACCTCCCTGGTCTTTGTGGTTAAATCTGTGTTTGAAATTCACTGCTCGACTGAGGTACCTTACAGATAATTGTATGTGTGGGGTACAGAGGTGAGGTAGTCATTCAAAACTCATGTTAAACACTATTATTGCACACAGAGTGAGTCCATGTAACTTATTATCTGTCTTGTTAAGCACATTTTTATTCTAGAATTATTTAAGCTTGCCATAACAAAGTGGTTGAATACTTATGGACTCAAGACATTTCAGCTTTTGATTTTTTATTAATTATAATTTTTTCTGAAAACATAATTCCACTTTGACATTATGGGGTATTGTGTGTAGGCCAGTGACACAAAATCTCAATTTAATCTATTTTAAATTCAGGCTGTAACACAACAAAATCTGGAAAAAGTCAAGGGGTGTGAATACTTTCTGAAGGCACTGTATGTCAAGGGGAAAAAAGCATTTAAAGCACTTGTTTACTGATCCACCATTAGAGACAAATGGCAAGGGTTATGGGACCCTGTAACGACAGTCTGGACAGTTTCTATACGGCAACAACAATAAATTAATGTTAAGCCACACAGTAGGACATACAGCATAGTAGTAAACAGTCTATACAAATCTCTGCTATGTACAAGTCAACAATAATGCCCAATACGTTTACATAGTGCACAAACACACAGCTACACATTTCAGACAGTGTAGGTGATACTCTGTTTTTTCTAACCTTCTTCCAGCAAATCTAGTCTTACAGTACTTGTATTGCTTTATATGCGGTAATAACATCAAAATGGCATGGAATGGAAGAATATAGCTTATTGAGATAAGGATATGGTAGGTATGGTATCCATAGCTTCCTTGTAGTTGTATGTAGGCTATACGTTGGGGCTGTTGAATCCACTATTAGGGATTTCATATGAAAAGCAGTTTGAATTTCGAAGGGCTCTGCACTGAAAGAGGCATGTGGGGAAAGGCACTACCGTAGTTAATGATTAAAAAACAGGAGTAAGGGAGGGAATCATGTAAGACACTAAATCCAGCATAGATAAGGTGAAAGAATTATGGGCCGTTTGCCAGTGCACACCTTTGTCTTGGAATATCTATTTTGTGTTGCGTAACAACGGACTTCTAGTAATTTCACCTTGTATTATTAGGGACACTTCCATGTGCTGTAGAATTAAAGGGCATGTCTTCACTCTTCAATCAATTACATTTCGGTGCTTGTTTAAGAATCAATACGTCATGATGGAATGTTCTTAAACCCTTGATGCGTAAAAAAAATAAAAATGAAACGCAGATATTGAAACTGAAAGATAACGTACGAGAACAGAATGAGATTAGAGGCAATAACAGATTACTGCATGCAGATGATAAGAAGATGTGTGGTCCTTGTCTCTTGTGCCAGGCACATCCATTCATTGTGTAGTCTGTCAATGGGCTGTTAGTTAGTACAGGAGTAGTCCCACGTCTCCCTCCGTCAACCAAAGTCTATCCGTGGGCGATATTCTAGTACCATTGGGTAGGCCTGAAAGAGAGAGATGGCATTGGTCACCCTTGGACAGAATCCACTACAATGGAGACAGTAATCAGAGAATAAGGAACGTAGATGATCTAACATTGTAAGAATACAATATATACAGTACACTTACAGGGGAACTTGCTAGTTAGAACACAAAAACAACACAATCTGATGTGTTCCTCCAGATTGTAGCTTCGTAGCTAAGATGTTCTGCAGTGAGAGAAGAGCACTAATGCAGGTGAGTACAGAGCAGAGCGGTGGGAGTGTGATGAGGAGAGAACGAGTCTGATGCCAGAGCAGGTGAAAGTGAAAGACACACTCCACAGACATCTCATGCAGTAGCCCTATTTTTAGACAAGCAGGCAAGCAGACAGCAGCAGTAGGCAGGAGACACTTATGTACAATCCCAACGAGAACGGAAATGAGTCGGCCCACACTGACCCAGTTCCTGGTCATTTGGTCCAGGGGAGGACAGGAATTCATACTAGGCATCACAGAGCTGTCACATATTCTGCACAGATAGAGAATTCTTAAGAGACCAATCAGAAAATCCCTTTCTGGTACAATCAAAGTGGGACGATCTGCCCCTGATGCCAATAGTAATAATGTCATCTGATTTTTTTTGTTGCTTCAACATGGATGTCTACACTGGATATAGTTCTTCTAAGCTAAAAGGCATTTACTGATTCCTTCCTGGGACTCTGTTCTTGGCATCAGAATGTTCTGCATAAGGACTGAGGACAAGGGTATTTTAAGCTTGCCAAAACCTGTTTTTAATGCAAGCCTAAATTAGGAGGAAAATTTCAATATTTCTCAGTGTTTTAGAATTAGTTGCTTATTAGGCTATATAGCGATGTGTGTATGATGCCGCCCCTCACCTCTGATTCTCCTCTGGGCGGCAATATCAATTGCGTCTATAGGCTATTTAGTGTGGTCTCAATCAAATGATCCATAGTCTTTAGGTTATAGGCTATGAAGTGCATGCTCCGATAAGCACAGAACAAAGTTATATTCCTAAGATAGCTGCTGGGATGGTGTAAATAAAACTAGGCTGCATTGCACACCGCAATGGATATTCCAATCCTGAGCCCCAGCCTGCTCTGCTCTTGCTGATCAAAAACGTTTTTGAATGCTGCTTAACCAATGGCTGTGCTGTGTAGGGCTATGGTGGCAGTTCAGGAGGAGACTCAAAGGTTTCTTCTGAAGATAATTGTTGATTAAGCCTAGTCCAAAAAATACAATATCTTGCAGGCGGACCAGCCCATACCCTATGCTCTGTTCAGTTTGGGAAGGAGACAGCGAAGATGAGTAGGACCGGAGTCAACTTTGATAGCTTGCTACTACTATAATTTATCATTATTAAAAACAATATGTTTCTTGCCCATTATGTATTTATCAGAGTTCGAGTTCAAAAAGTCAGATTCGAGTAACTTACATTGTGGTGCTGAAACTTGAAGCAGCAGCCGCAGCACAATCAATCAGAAATGGACAGCTCATGGTGCTGAAAGTTGGCAAATTCGAGTAGGCATAACTAATTTCAACATTCTTCATTTTAATTAGACATTAATAACAACAAGAGGGATTTGCGTTGGAGACAATTTCTTCCTATTTAAGAAATAAGAGGTAGGCCTACCTGTTTGACAGACTACATTAGGCTATAGGCTGCTATATCCATAGATTTGCCAGCCAATTCCTCCACCCACCATGCACTCTTTAAATAGCGTACCTCCATATCAGTGAAGGGCTGTTAAATTAAAACCAATACTCGAGGGATTATGAGCGGGTATGCCATAGGCCTACCTTTTATTAAAGAAAATGGCAAAAAGCACAGGCCCACCCATTGTTAGCTTAAGATTAAAAAAAAGAAAACAACGGATCCGATTATATATAATTGTCACGATCGTCGAAGGAGGAGGACCAACGCGCAGCGTTGAATGTGAACATATTTTATTAATTAGAAAGATCACACGAACAAAACGACAAACGATAACGTGAAGTCCTTGGTTAACACACATAAACCAACACGGAACAAGATCCCACAAACACTGTGGGAAAACTGGCTGCTTAAGTATGGTTCCCAATCAGAGACAACAAGCAACAGCTGATACACGTTGCCTCTGATTGAGAACCACACTGGCCAACATAGAAATAGAAAACTAGAACAAAAACAAATGAAAACTCACACCCTGGCTCAACATACTAGAGTCCCCAGAGCCAGGGCGTGACAGTACCCCCCCCAAAGGCGCGGACTCCGGCCGCGCCAACCAAACACCACAGGGGAGGGACCGGGTGGGCACTCCGCCTTGGCGGCGGATCCGGCTCCGGGCCTGATCCCCACTCCCTCTCCAACCCCCCAAAGTACCCCTGGTCCGGTCTGGCCCCGCTGACCGGAGCTGGACTGCACACTGGTGGAGCGGATTGCTCTAGCTCCGGCGTGAAGCAGCTGACCGGTGCCGGACCAGGCACCGGTGGAACAGGCACGGGCCGTGCCGGACTGACGACGCACACCATTGGCTTGGTGTGGGGAGCAGGAACGGGCCGGACCGGGCTGGCGACGCTGACCATGGGCTTGGTGCGGGGAGCAGGAGCGGGCCGGACCGAGCTGGCGACGCGCACCATAGGCTTGGTGCGGGGAGCAGGAACGGGCCGGACCGGGCTGACGAAGCGCACCACTGACTTGGTGCAGGGAGCAGGAACGGGCCGGACCGGGCTGGCGAAGCGCACCACAGGCTTGATGCGGGGAGCAGGAACAGGCCGGACCGGGCTGACGACGCGCACCACAGGCTCGATGCGAGGAACAGGAACAGGCCGGACCGTACTGGGGACACACACCACTGGCCCTACGCAGGGATCAGGAACGGGCCGGACCGGACTGGTAACACACCCCAGTACCTCTCGCCGTGCCTCTACACTTTCCCTCTCCTCTGTGACCAGTGGCCCCCTTAACCTGGCGGCCTCCTCTGCAAACCCGCTGGACCACTCCATCGCGGCCTCCTGCTGCCCCGTCGTCCGCGGCGTGAGCCACCCCCTAAAAAATTTCTGGGCTTCTCTCCTTCCCGTGGACCAGGTCTCCATATCTCTTGACAGCCTTTCGCCCTTCTGCTTCCAAGTCAAGCCCCTCTCTTCCTCACACGGCTTGACCCAGTCGAGGAGGCGAAGGAGATCCGCTAGAGATCTCCCTGGCGATGGCTCCTGGACACGCTGCTTGGTCCAGCCTTGGTGGGATCTTCTGTCACGATCGTCGAAGGAGGATGACCAACGCGCAGCGTTGAATGCGAACATATTTTATTAATTCGAAAGATCACACGAACAAAACGACAAACGATAACGTGAAGTCCTTGGTTAACACACATAAACCAACACGGAACAAGATCCCACAAACACTGTGGGAAAACTGGCTGCTTAAGTATGGTTCCCAATCAGAGACAACAAGCAACAGCTGATACACGTTGCCTCTGATTGAGAACCACACTGGCCAACATAGAAATAGAAAACTAGAACAAAAACAAATGAAAACTCACACCCTGGCTCAACATACTAGAGTCCCCAGAGCCAGGGCGTGACAATAATGATCTATAACAGCCCTTTGGTCTGCGATGCTTTACGCTAGAAACAAGCTTTAAAATACTTTTGTTTCATTTCTTTGATATTCAGAGGCTGACTTTGCTTGCGAAGTAATCAAATTGTGTCACTATCAATTGATTAAGCTATTCACTTTCTGTACAATAGAAGATGTTTAAACCCAGACAGCTTTTAGGGAAACACTTGTGACCTTCTCTCGTTGGGTTAAGCCACGGAAGAAGAGTAGCCAGCAGTTAAAGCTTACATTTTTTTGCGTCGGTAGGCCTACTCTGTCTGGGGTGGAAAGGTAGGCCTACTCTGTCTGGGGTGGAAAGGTAGGCCTAACTTTTGAAAGTACCATGCTCAGATTCCTAATGACGTCTCGGATTTAATTATTTGCAAACAGGGACAGTTTCATTGCAAACAAGACACACTGATTTGGCATTGGAGAAATATGATAAGATGATCACATAGGCCTATCACTCTGTCCATTCTTAGCCGGTAATTTCGTTAATTTGTGTGGTATTAAGAAAAGATTCTGCTAACATGTAAAATTACGTAGAATTGCACGTAATGTTTATAAAAGACATATTCTCTGCTATCCACTTTGTTTTAATTATTATTTTTGGTATAGGGGAGGGTCACTTTTTTTTCTCCAAGCGTTCAGGGAGGGTTTAAATAAAATATATTTTGCTGAAGGGAGGGCCATCCATTTTAATTTCAAAGAGCTCCCATTTCCTCCATGTAACCCTTATTATAAATAACATTCACTCCCTTAGCAGAGTATCATTTCATAACAGGGGAATCAATTGAACAATTAAAACTGTACAGTTTATGAGGCCTTGGGTGCGTTGTACTGTATGTTGCAACCAAACCAGGACAGAAATGGTCTTTGCTGCTGCTAACAGGGCGCCTTCATTAAAAGACCCCTCTTTTGAGCCAGTGGTGATGAGCTATGGCTGTGGAAGGGGAGAGTGTCAGGCAATGAGCCCAGGAACAGGCACCCTGCTGGGTCAGTTGTCAGGGCCTTCACTGCTTTCCTCACCTGTCTCCCTGGACCAATACAGAGATTCATGACCTGACCCCGTGCTGCCGGAGCGCAGACCAGCCCATCCAAAAGTGACAATCATCAGCAATGAAATTAGCAGCCAAGGCGCCCGGCCAACGTGCTTTTGAGGTCAAGCTGAAGTGTGTTAGATAGCCTAGCAGACTGTGCAGAGGACTTGGGGTGCTTGATTAAGTTTATGCATGGTTGACTGAAGTTCAGGTCCAGATATAGCAACCACAATGTGTATTTTTGGTGAGGTGAACAAGAGGAAAGTGGTTAATTCTGAATTCATTGAGGAAGAGAGGCAGAAATAGAGAATGTACTGTACATCAACTGCATTTTACCATGAGCTACCAATACCATACTAGCCTTGCAAATGTCTCCAATAGTGTATAGTACCATTATAACACATGAACCACCAACTTAATTCACCATACTTTTGATGTGAACCTATAGTACCAGACAAATTCTACAAGTGGCCTGTAATCAGCTCTCTTTACCGTGCCACTGGCACTTCCTGCTTGCTGTGGCAGATTACACAGTAGAGTGGCACACGAGTAGCGGTGGCACTTCAGACGTCTAACCAGCTAATCGGCTTAAAGCCAAGCAAGCCGTGACTCTCATGGAGACTAGACTCCAGGACCGTCATTCAGCAGCCACATCTTATCCCCATGGCTAGAAAGGTACAGGGCTTAGCATCTTTCAAAGTGAGGGGAACAGGGGGGTGGGCATTGATATCATTGGGGGCTTACTTACGGTTTCACCGCGAAGTCTCCATCGCGTCATGTAGATGAACTCCATGGTGTGGTCTTTTCCCATGATCTCCCCGTTGCATAGGACGTCTAGCTGTGAGGGGACACAGAGGCTGGTGACTAAGAGGTAGACTGTGGGACATAGTGAGAGTATACGCTGCTTGAGAAGAAGACTAGAGCTCGACAAATCTTCCTTTCTCATACCGTTCAAACAAGCAGAAAACAAAAGGACAAGGACTCAAATAAGGGGCGTCATTTCAGCTAAACCTAGGAATTTTTATAAACTGAAGCTCATTTAATGCATTTGTACACAATTAAAAAACAAAATAAATGCAATTTGAAGATCAGTAAAAACAAGCAAAATTGACTCCAGCTATTATCACCTTGGCTGCTGTAGGGGACTCAGTCAATAGGGGACTTAAAATTCTACAAACACGTCATACAGCAATTAGCTGCTACGCACTAGCTCAGCACTGGGATTAAAAACTCTAGTTTAGTTTCATGTCAAGTCAAACAGAAGTTACCTACCCATAAGCCATCTACTACAGCCATCTTCCACCTCTGCACTGTTTTGAGAGAAAAGTTGCGCTGTTCAGTGCAGCTGCGTCGATGCGCTCTCAGCCATACCTCAGTGCTCTCAGCCAGAGAGGAAGAGGCGAAGCGAGAGGTTTCACTCTCTCCAAAATCTGTCAAAAATAAGCCCAATGCATTTCTATGGACTTATTTTAGACCTAAGCTTGTCGCCTGCCTTACCGCCTTTGGGACAACGACTCCCATTGATAGTGTGGAGACATGAGCATCTCATCATTATGTACAGATCTCTGTCTCAGCCAGTTGGGCAAATAGCCTGCCCGTCAGCTCTGAGCCATCCACATGGTCCTAAAGCCAGCCCGCTAATCTTGCTAAAATGCATTTGCCTTTTAATCAGGATTGGAATGATTTTAGTAGCCTATTTTAAATAGTTGGTGTTGAGCCACTGGCGTATCGGACACCCCCGCAGCCCCCGCAAAGCGGGGGGGCCCGCGAGCTCTGGGGTCCCATGTGCCTGTCATCAATGTCTATTTTTTTAAATTGAATAAATCATTTTGACAGTAACCTTCAAAAACGTAATTCATAAACCTTTTTAATTTCCATATGTACTAGGAAGCTAAGTGTTTGTTTCTTGGGCTTCAGGAATGTGACTGAAAAAGTGCCCTAGGCCTTGAAAAAATGTTTTACTGATTGAAAGTAATTGGAGATCTGTGAACGAATGGGCGCCAGTGAAAGTGCTAGTAGATACCCATTGACTTCCATTCATTGCGCTAACGCTAGTTATCATTGGCTCGCGAAACAACCTCTAACTTCCTTCATACTGGACACAGAAACATAAAAATGGAATCCACAAGTTCATCTGACACTGGGGAAGTATATAAAGGGCCGCATTGCCAAAATCCCAAAGTATCCCTTTAATGAGTCAGAAACAACAATACCTTGCACCCACTAGTAGTCAAAAGGTTTTTGGCGCGCCAAAAATACGGTACGGTACTGTATTCTGTAGGGTGGAATTACAGTACCATTGGAAATACATACATTATTTCCCCGCCCACATTTTCCCACAATGCACCATCATTTACAGTATGGTGCACACAAAAAAAGTATACGCCCCCTTGTTGGTCATTGGTCAAGAATAGCATTCTTCAATGAAGTGTGTGTTGTCATTCAACGAGCGACGACTCGTTTTCATGCATATTTTTTCACTAGCCTAGCCTTAAGGACAGCTTCAGTACAGCAGGGGGCCTGCTAACAAGGCCAGCACTTTTACCCACAACACTAAACACACAGGAGAGACTCTGCAGGAACAGCTACTGTATGTGAGGCCCAAACAAAACCGCATATATGGGTTTAATATCTGTCATACAGTAGATACATACGAAAGGGTATAGAGTACATACAAAAGCTTAATTTGTTACCTCATAAGAACTTGGAAGTTTTAACTTCAAGCTGAGAAACTTCTTGATTGTTCCGACTGTCACTCGAGTCGAGCAGCGTATAAATTTCTTCATTAAGCCCTAGAGTGGAGGATCAGAAGATTACTTTAATGATTCAGGCACATCTCCCATTTTTTCAAACTTGTGTGAAGAGCATGCAAATCCAAACATTCAAAGAGCCATTTTATGGCAAAAAATATATTTAAAAACAAATGCATAATTAAGAATAGTTAGTGCATTTAATACCAATAGCAACCTTTTGGCACAGAGAAACTCCGTCTATACACACTATACACACTCATAACAAATGGTCCTATATAGCACCAAAAAAGGGGTCCGCTATGGTTACAACCCTTTTGGGGGCTAAATAGAACCCTTTTTTATGGTTCTTTATAGAACCTTTATGGAGAATGGTTCTATAAAGAACCTTTTTCAATCTCAACGTTTTTTGTAGAACCATGCAGGGTTTATTAGCCATATTAAATTGTTAAAATTCCATTAATTGTATTATTGTGTTTATTAACAAGTTGAATCAGGTTGCTAGCTCTGGAACGGCTGGGGGTCCCTGAGGAGAGAATTGAGAACTACTGATTTAGTCAACCGTTCTCAACTGACACAAGGTCTTACGCAAGTCTTTCACAAGACACCATCACTGGCCATCGTCAGATATAACATGTAATAGCATAACACAATAGATTAGATAAACTGGAATGACACTCACTCACGGTTGCACAAAAAGAGCTGTGCACAAACCACGCCCAAACATATCACTAAAAGATGAAATAACCCTTTTTAAAACTGCAAATAACCATTTAACGGTTCAAAGGGTTCTTTGGGTCAGTATGGTTCCACATAGAACCACCACCCTTCGCAAAGAACCCTTGAGGAACCCTTATGAGCCTCTCCTCTCTCCACATATTCACTGTTCTGCCTACCAATTATGAACAGCAACACCACTGTTATAATGAGGACCACTATTTTAATGAAAACAACTGCCTAATTAGTGATGGGCTGGATTATCACCTGCTGACAGAGGAACGTATCTGACTGAGTGACCTGCTTCCAATGACAGCCCAGGAAATAAAGGAAAACCACAGCATCATCGTCCATCTATATTCTACTCACATTCTGAGGTGTTAGGCAGTTGGAGGGACATAATGGAGTTAGCTTCATAATACTGTACCTAACCCAATCAGCCTAAAAGAGGGGGGAGGAATGAGGTTAGGGAGACAGGGAAGACGGTGAACATGAAGAAAAGAGCAGTAGGGAAGAGCTACACATAGAGCTCTCCACCACGACTTACTCGAACAATGTTCTCTTCCACCAGGCTGTTGTTGCGTAGACAATCCAGACAGATGGCTATCTGAGGGTCACTCCTGTGGTAGTCTCCATCCCCACCATCATCACCCTCGTCATTCAGCCTAGATCTCTTTGATCGGGGGCCATCTTCTATTACAAAGAAATGGAGAAGTATGTTATACTAATGTGTATGGGCAAGAGCATACACTGTGTGGATACAAGTTGAGCTTGTTTTCCTTGAATTCATATAAAACTGTGAAAAGACACTTCACAATAGGATGGATTTGATTGATACTGATGTCTTTCGCGTTTCACCTAGAAATGCAAAATCATAAGGTAAGACCTTTGGGACACATTGTCGATCATCACATTGTCATGGAGATGGAATTTAAGTCTGGAGGACTGAATCCATCCACCTTTAGTCATTCTGTGGTTTCCATTTTATTTATTCCCCACCTCTATTATACCTCATAAACAGGGTCATCTTGTCAATGCCTTGTAGAGTGTGCTATCCCCCCCCCCTCCTCCTCCTCCTTCTCTCTCTCTCAGCCTCATATGACTCACAGCCACCTACAGTCGTGCACCACTGCAACAATAGAACCTGAGTCATACTGTAATTCCTTCTCTCTCTTTGTCGCCTTGCTGATCTGTCTCCCACATAGAGCCTCCTTACCTTTCACCTCAATAACAAATCACAGCCCACCTCTGCACACCCAAGCCCCCCGAGTGGGTTCATTCTGGTCCCCCTGAGGGTCTTGGTCTTCATGGACACTAATACAGATATTTTACCTTCTCCGTTCTCCTTTGACTTTCGACTCCTCCAGAACTCAATCTCCTGCTGTTGTTCCTCTAGTCAATAAACAAAAACAGAATATATGAATACACAGGGCAGGGCTCCATGATTAAAAAAATTACAAGGAGCACATGTGCTCCTAAGTTGAAAAATATATGAGCACACAAAGAAATGTAGGAGCACAATGAAAAATATTTTAGGTATTAAAGCGGCAATCTGCAGTTGAATGATAACAAAGCACTCCCCGCCACTGTTTCAGTAAAAGGTTGAGGGAGGGGGCTGGAGCAATGACTGTATATATAAATGGACAAAACCATTGATCATGTGACACCATTCATTCCTATGTGAAGAATCAGTAGCGCATTGAAGCCAAATTAAGTCGGTTAAGATGGCATCTCACTTAACATGCGCAGTTTGAGTTACTCCAGGAAGTGATGTTGCAGGCTAGCTCAGTGCGGCCCCCTCTCAGGATACTTCTTCTACGTGCCATTTTTAAATAATCGGTTCAAGGACATAATGTACATCTGGTATATTAGAAGCAATTATTGGTACCATGATTGTCTTCAAAAAAAAAAAATATTTACACGAAGATTGACCACGAAAATTGCCAACTTTTCCATTCACTATAATGGGGCGATGCTGTTTCCTGCTAACAATGCCTGCAGTACCACGGTTGGCCTTGAACTTCCATGGCTTCAAGGAGAGGGGGCAGTCGTCTCCCCTAGGCTGGAGAAATGTAACCACACTCAAATTCATAGACAGAGCTACGGATGCAAGGATTATAGTTTTAACCATGTTTTGAGGCTGTATAGTGTAACTTTGTTTACAAACATTGGAAAAACAAGCTTATATGACCCTGGACAACACCCTGTCGTTCTCCGCTAACATCAAGGCGGTGACCCGATCCTGCAGGTTCATGCTCTACAACATTCGGAGAGTACGACCCTGCCTTACACAGGAAGTGGCACAGGTCCTAATCCAGGCACTTGTCATCTCCCGTCTGGATTACTGCAACTCACTGTTGGCTGGGCTCCCTGCCTGTGCCATTAAACCCCTACAACTCATCCAGAATGCCGCAGCCCGTCTGGTGTTCAACCTTCCCAAGTTCTCTCACGTCACCCCGCTCCTCCGCACACTCCACTGGCTTCCAGTTGAAGCTCGCATCTGTTACAAGACCATGGTGCTTGCCTATGGAGCTGTGAGGGGAACGGCACCTCTGTACCTTCAGGCTCTGATCAGTCCCTACACCCAAACGAGGGCATTGCGTTCATCCACCTCTGGCCTGCTGGCTCCCCTTCCTCTGCGGAAGCATAGTTCCCGCTCAGCCCAGTCAAAACTGTTCGCTGCTCTGGCACCCCAATGGTGGAACAAGCTCCCTCACGACGCCAGGACAGCGGAGTCACTCACCACCTTCCGGAGACATTTGAAACCCCACCTCTTTAAGGAATACCTGGGATAGGATAAAGTAATCCTTCTACCCCCCCCCCCCCCCCCCCCCCCCCCCCCCTAAAAAAAAAAAAAAAAGAAAGAAAGAAAGAAAAACAAAACAAACAAAAAAAATTGTAAAGTGGTTATCCCACTGGCTATAGGGTGAATGCACCAATTTGTAAGTCGCTCTGGATAAGAGCGTCTGCTAAATGACGTAAATGTAAATGTAAATGTATATTTTGGCTTCTGATGGGGTACAACAGTTGAACTAAGCTCATGTGGCATTTATAAATTATACTCTTCAAGAATCAATGGGTTTAAATCATTAATTTATGAGTCCAAAAATTGATGTAGTAACTGCAGATTGCCCCTTTAATGATACGAATTGCCAGCAATTACAAAATACAGGGTTTAGGAGCACCAGAACAATCGATTTTTAAGATTGAGATATAGCCTACATTGGGCTTCATGAATCCTAGCTACTTTTGAAGCTCATCTCCCGAAAAAGCGCTCCCTTTTACTTCCTTTCTGTGCCACCACATGTTTGCATACTACTGAAGAAGCGGGACAGCAAAGAAATCATGACAATAATTATTACCTGGGTGATTTTTTTTCTAGGGGCACTGGTGCTCCCAAATAGAAATTCCAGGTAGCACAGCAAAATATTTATATTTACATTTACATTTTAGTCATTTAGCAGACGCTCTTATCCAGAGCGACTTACAGTTAGTGAGTGCATACATTTTTCTAAATTTATATCTGATTGATATGCCCCCAAAATGGTAGCACTGTAGAGCCCTGCAGGGCAGGAGTTATATCATTCAAGTCAAATGGAAAACAGCTTGAGTAACTCTTAGGCCTACTATAAAAGGCAAGATGTATATCTGATGTTGGTAGATACTAAAATGACATCACTCACTTTCTCTTAGCCCAGGCACGAGTTTGAAAATGATTTCCTCTAAAGTGTTGTCCAACCTGGCAATAGAATGAGACGTAAAGGAAGAATAAAAAGTAAGTACACTTACACATACTTACACACACACACACACACACCCACACACACCCACACATTCCCAGACATTGCATCTGTGGGCTGGGTAGCTGGGTGGCTGGGCACTGGGTGAGGTCTTCAGCTGAGACCTTGGCTCCAGAATGGTGTCCAGCTGTTGCCTGGATCTCACCCCAGCCAAGCTCAAGTTCACTCTATCCTCCCCCAGCCCAGCCCAGCCCAGCCCACACCAGCCTTACAATCTCACAAGTCAAGTAGACAACTGAAGAAAAACGGACAAAATCCGGCTAGGGCTAGTTCAGTAGTGCAAAGGCCAGCATGTTTTTACTTTACTGATGGTTTTGATATATTAATGTATTCAATAGTATTCATTACGATTCTGTGATTCTCAAAAGGAAAATATGAATGCACATAAGATTCTGTCAAAGATATAAAATGAGGTGTATTACCTTAACATCTCTAGGGGGTTGGTTTCATGGACTTGGATACCACATTTGGGGCAGTCGTTGCTGTCTTCAAAGTGTTGAACGATGCAGCTTTTACAAACTGTTGACAGAATAAAGGAGATAGAGAGAAAGAGAAGTTTACCATCTCGAAATACAGACCTAAAGTAAATATGGATTTTTATCACACCATTCCGGTGTTAAATAAATGCCAAGATGACTGCATTTTCTCTTTTCGTATCCCTTTCTCTCAGATAATCTTCACAATAAAAGGATTTTGATTTGAAAGTAATGTTTAAAACCAAAAGGAATAGCATTCTAATATCTAATTTCTACAGTTTCAACTGGATAAACATCAGAGTATATGTTGAGCCTTGAAGCATGACTAAAAGCTCAGGCTTGCAATTGAAATTGAAACTGTGGACTGGCAGGGAGATAAGGAAATAGTGGGTATAGCCTGGCCAGTTCTAAGTGCATCTATCACACAGCCAAGGACAGCTGCAGCCAATACTACAGAGCACACACACATGCATGTACACGTACTGTATGTGCGATAAGGCGCACATGCACACACACAAACACACACACACACATACACCATCTATGAGGTGGTATATAATGTACAGTCTTATCTTTCTTTTAAGAATACAAACCAATTCCATACAATACTGAGCTGAGGATTAGGCCTATATCCTATGATGTGATTTCACCAAATCGTGAGAAAAAATCTGATCAACAATATCTGCAGAAATACAGGGCACAGTCTCCCCTCTAGCAACTGCCATGTAAACCCAACACATACTCTATGTACTTGTACACTATGCACTGGCCTATAGCCTACATAACAATCCTCACAAACATACAGTAGTTAGCTGCTGTCATACTGAATCAACCATAACTGCCAAGGGAAATAATATGTCAGAACAACATATGAAACGTTTGAGACAGACCTCACTGTGCACAGTTGTGTATAACAGTGGCAGATGTTCTCTTCAAACATTTCCTATACATATACAGCCTTTTACAAGTAATTGCGTTCTGACTACTTTACTATAGTAGATGCTACAACGAAAACAGTCTAAACTAATGTAAAATATATATTTAGCTGGGGATCTCTGAAATATAATGGCATACACACTGAAATAAATCATACAACAGCATAAACGTACTGTACTAGGCAGCTGCTGATATTTTTCATTATTGAGATTATGGCTAGGGGTCAATACAACCTCTATGACAGTAAAGAAGTGACTTTGCTCTCAAACAAACAAATAAATTGGACCCAAACAGCTTATTCTGTGTGGAGGATATTTGTTGTCATGGTGACTGAACCCACAGATGACTGTGTTTCACCCTGATCACTTGAGATGTGTCATTCCTGGGAGTGAGATCTGCCATTCTCCTCCAATAAAACATTCAGTTCAGATGGAGAGGGCAGAAATGGAGAAGGATGCCATGTAATATGACATGTAAATCATGCAGGATATGACATCGAGGAGATCGACAGAGGGCGTTTAAAAAAAATCATAGCTGTGACTGTGCAAGGCTGTGGTATAAAACAACAAATAAGACAGCCAATTGATTATGTGAGCTCTAAATTCCAGCTACTCTAGCACTTTTTAGTGGTGCAATAGATGCCGTAAAAAAAATATTATAATAAAGTCACACTACACCAAAAAAAGCCAGAGGACATTTCTGCATAAAATCATTGTTAGATATAATTTATAGTAGCGGAAGTTAGGTATAATGCATATATATTAGGCAGAGCTAAATAAAAATCATACAGATATGCCTGGAGATAGTGTAGCCTATGCATAGTGAAAATGTGTTTTCTGAGAGAGAGAGAGAGAGAGAGAGAGAGAGAGAGAGAGAGAGAGAGAGAGAGAGAGAGAGAGAGAGAGAGAGAGAGAGAGAGAGAGAGAGAGAGAGAGACATTGTTACAACACTATATATATACATAATATGACATTTGAAATGTCTTTATTCTTTTGAAACTTCTGAGTGTAATGTTTACTGTTAATATTTATTGTTTATTTCACTTTTGTTTACTATCTACTTCACTTGCTTTGGCAATGTTAACATACGTTTCCCATGCCAATAAAGCCCTTAAATTGAAATTGAATTGAATTGAGAGAGAGAGAGAGAGAAAGAGAGCGTGGGGGGGGCTTACAGGTGTGCAGGCACTCTGTCACCGTGGTGGGCTTGTTCAGGTATCCTTTACACACGTAGCATGTGATAAAGTGGTTGAAATCCTTGACCAGGTGCTTTTTCGGCGAGGTCATCTTGGACCAGAGCAGGAGTGTTGATGGATGGGAGTGTTGTGTAATGGGGAAAGGAATGATGGCAGATGGGGGCTGGAGGTCAGAGTTCACAGGACTTTCTGAAATGCTCCACACTTCTGGGTTTTCCCCTTCAGTCGCTTCATCTTAATTCAGGCTTCCCCTCCAGTGAGATATCAAGTGTGCTGCATTTTCATCTCTGTGGTGCTGTGGGTGTCTGTGAATGAAAGTAGAAAACAGTGCTACATGCTTGATATTTGAAAATGTGTTACCACAAAATCAAATGCAAATTCTAAAGTTGCATTATTTCATGAAATAGAATCAACTTTAACATTTACCAAGACATCACTGCATCTTCAACATGTTTGACCAAAACAAATATCATGGACAGGCTACAGGCAGTGGTTGACTTGGACAGGAGCTAACCAGAGCTAAGTACCAGCACCTCAAATGTTCTACTGCTTGAGCTCCTGTTCCTCTTATAGAATATTATCTCAAAAGTATTGTGGAGCTCCTGCACCTAAATATAAACAGTACCGGCACCCAAAATGAGTACCGACACCTATTTCAGTCCAAGTCAAACACTGGCTACAGGTGCATGTAACGTGTCACCTTTATGCCCCGCCCCCTTAATGCTTTTTTAAAATCGAAAGCAACTTTAGTTCCTTCCAAAGATTGTTATGGCATTAAGTGTATAACCCCTTCATTGTCACATTAATATAATTGAAATAGTATTTTCAAATCCAAAGTTTGGAGAGAGGCTACTTTGGTTAGCCTCCTCAAGCGGAACAACAGAATATCGAGATCTATGCTACAACGTAACCATTGTATTTGTTACATATTTTCGCTAGTACCTAGCTATGGTCATTACGCTGTTGCATGATCCCAGAGTTCAATACTAGCCTTGACACTGACTAGCTTAGGCAAACCTTTGAATAGTATATTCTGAGAAGAAATGTCATATGATATAATTGTCATAAATTTGATTGCTGAAAAATCCTCAATTGGCAGCAAAGAAATAAATCGAGGATGGTCCCCTTTACAGTGACAAAATTGGGGCTTATGTCCCTCATCATCACCAGGAAATCATACGCGTCATTCTGTCAACCACGGTATTGCGCGAATTACATTATGGATGGTGAGTTTACCATACCCTGAAAAAATGACTTAAGATTCAAGTTGCTGCCATTGAAGTCAGCCTAACTGTGGGGACCGTACACAGATACTTCGATCACTAAGATAAGAAATAAACGAGCGCCACCGCACAGACTTGACTATGACCAAAACGCACATGTCTAGAACTTGATAGCCCGTATGACACATGATCGCATTCCCAACCCACCCCAAACTTTACTATCACAGCACCTACGGAAAAAGGATACGCACAAGCATCGTTTTCTCGGCTTCTGAGTAGCGAGTAGTAAACGCATCTCTTACATTCCAGTTCAAGGCTCCATGGTCGAGATGGTGTGATCTTTTCCGACAATTCTACCTATATACGCTGTATGATGTGGGCGCCGATGTTACATTAATGTAGGCTAGCACTGAATACGGAACTGCTTTCAGAATAGATGATAGGAGAGAAGCGGAGGAGGATCCAGCGCTTGTTTACGCATTGCTGCTTTATTCATTCCACGGCAGATACACTCTGATTGGACACAAACTAGGGCGCAGCCTTCAATTACCAACTACTGTAGTCCAGTAACGTGTAGTCTATATAATATGATAAACACAAGGCTCCTGAAAACCTGTTCATCAACCGAGCAGAGGCATGGTATTGATTGATGGACCTGTGGACCTATATATCTGAAGTAGCCTAGGCTACCTAGCCTGATAAGGATTAAAACAAATATTCACCAACATACAAAACAGATTTAGCCTACATATCCATTTGTCTTCATACCTTCATATAGTGTTAGTGTGATAAGTAGCCTGATATGACCATGTTATTACATAGTTTTAGTCCGCTAGATATAAAATAGGACTGGCCAGTTTCCAGTTATTCAACACATGTAAATAGAACATATAGTTTGCTATATTTCAGGAGTAACTCTCCTAGTGAATTCATTATTGTAGGTATCAATAAATAGGTTGATATGTGTCTGCCACCTTTCAGTCTTAATAGACAGGACATGCCCTCCATTCTGTCTAGGGGTGTGTTAGGCTACATGTGGGTGGATCATGCCTTCATAAGGAACCAAAAGAAAACAGCTGAGGTTGAAAACAGAGATATAATTACTCTCTAACAGCTGTGCTGTCACATTTGATATACTAGAACTTACATTTCACTTGAACTTGGTCAACTCCCCAGCCCTCCTGCATCAATTAACATAATATGTATCATTTTGGGTTGCTGCAATTCAGTGTTGTGGCACTCCAACTTTGACCACTCAGAGGGCTGTAAGAAAACTCAAAATCAGTCACCAAAAATATGGGATAAAAGGCAGGAATGCAGTTGGTGAGGGATTAATATGGCAGCATTCCTGTTAGTAGAGACCTTGAATAGTAGGAATATGAAAATAAAAAGCTCACATGTAAAAAGGTGAAAAAGCAAGAATTTTGGAAAGATGTGCTCCACCAGGCGGTTGATATGTCAGCAAAAAGTATGGTGGACTAAGAATAGGGTAAATTCGTTTTTTATTAAAAATACATATTCTGGTGAAAAAAATGATTGAATTGTTGACAACCCACTATAATAGGCAACATACATTGGTTAAACCACATTTCATGAACCATAGGCTCAATTAATCAATATTCAGACTTAAGGTTGCCTATAAAATAATGCCTATATTAGTAATAAAAAACTGCACTGTCATATATTATCTCAAAATGTAGTCTGAACATGTAGTAGGACACATGGTGGAAGAACCTGGATCATTTGAAATGTAAGAAAACCATTTTGAGGGACATTGCACTATACACCACCTGAAAATGCCTTAATTTCAATGTAATTTAATATTCATGTTTCAACATACAAAATAACCATAATTTGTTAAAATGTGACATTAGTCCTCATTTAACAACGCTAACCTGTAAAAGCCATTGAAGCAGACCTAAAGTATTTTTTGTAATATTGTTGAGATACAGTGGGAGAAAAAAGCCCCAAAGCAAAACAGCCCCAAAGCATGATGTTTCCACCCCCATGCTTCACAGTAGGTATGGTGTTCTTTGGATGCAAAGTTTTTCTGCAAAGGGACCAGGACGACTGATCCGTGTAAATGAAAGAATGAATGGGGCCATGTATCGTGTGATTTTGAGTGAAAACCTCCTTCCATCAGCAAGGGCATTGAAGATGAAACGTGGCTGGGTCTTTCAGCATGACAATGATCCCAAACACACCACCCGGGCAACGAAGGAGTGGCTTCATAAGAAGCATTTCAAGGTCCTGGAGTGGCCTAGCCAGTCTCCAGATCTCAACCCCATAGAAAATCTTTGGAGGGAGTTGAAAGTCCGTGTTGCCCAGCGAGATCCCCAAAACATCACTGCTCTAGAGGAGATCTGCATGGAGGAATGGGCCAAAATACCAGCAACAGTGTGTGAAAACCTTGTGAAGACTTACAGAAAACGTTTGACCTGTGTCATTGCCAACAAAGGGTATATAACAAAGTATTGAGAAACTTTTGTTATTGACCAAATACTTATTTTCCACCATAATTTGCAAATAAATTCATAAAAAATCCTACAATGTGATTTATTTTCCTCATTTTGTCTGTCATAGTTGACGTGTACCTATGATGAAAATTACAGGCCTCTCTCATCTTTTTAAGTGGGAGAACTTGCACAATTGGTGGCTGACTAAATACTTTTTCCCCCACTGTAAGTAAAATGCTATAAATTATACAGCAGGGGGTTTGGAATTCCCATTGTTATAGCCTATCCTGCCAATCTTATACTAGACAACATAGGCCTACACATGGCCAGTACATTCATAAAAAGTGCCATTGTTCACATCGTTAACTTGCAACGCCCTACTACTACTAGGCTACTACTTTTATAGATCCACTGCCCAGCCATGCAATTTATAAACTTGATATCGGAAAGGTTGTTGGTTTGAATCCCTGAGCCGACTAGGTGAAAAATCTTTCGATGTGCCCTTGAATACTTAACCCTAATTGCTCCTGTAAGTCACTCTGGATAAGAGTGTCTGCTAAATGACTAAAATTTGAATGTGTAGCGGCGCTATGGAAAGCCACTGGGGGCGCTGGTGGTGTGTAGGGCAGAGGCAGTCGGTGCCGTTTAAGAGGAAGGACGATTCTTTTTTTTCATGAGCATGGCCTTTTTTCTATTAACCCATATTGGATGACTGGCATTCATATTCCATTCACCCAGTTCAATGTAACACAGATAGGATTAGGCTACTGCATGATACTCTCATTTTCCCTATACCCACTCATGAGGTTGCTACAACCTAGCCTATGAATGAAAGTTTACAACGTAGGTGCACACAGGTCGAAGATAAAATGAGGTGACAGACAGTGACACATGGACAGACAGTGACACTTTCAATACCGCCTTGCACATGCTTGCCTGCATCTAGCTGATCTAGAGTGCAATCATTAGTCCAACAGTTGCAAACAAGAGTTTCTATTGGACAAATTCAGGTATGTTAATCCCTGTTTCATTCAATTTGCTTCCGGTTAAGAAATGTTTTTCAACAGAATCAGCTGAATAAATACATCCCTGATCATGCGTAAACACAGTTCACTTTCATAGCAGCCACGTTGTATTCTTTCTCGCATGTATGCACTCTCCTCCTCTCACCTTTTCCCTTCGCTTGTGGACTTCAATGCACAACACATCAGCTGTATGTGACCAGGCAAAAAAAACTTTACAAGCCAAACCATGTCATAACCGCTACACAAAGCCTACATCGTTGTCACAATATTAGCTAAAGTAACATCATAGTCAACATAGCTAATAGAACTAACTCGTTAGTAAACCCGCTACAATCATCCAGTAACGTTACAGTGTACAGTCAGTTACACCGGCGAGCCCAAGTGGCAATAAATTAGTACAACCAAAAGCTTACCTTGACTTGGAAGAGTTCCAGTGTTGTGTTGGATAGTCATAGCCAGCTAGCTAACATATTATCCCTCTGTTTGAGCAGGGTGTTTGAGTAGGCTAAACTAGCTAGCTGCATTTGCTAGCTAAGTAAGTGAAACTGAAAGTGAAAAAAGTGATGAACTCTCTCTATCACTCTCTTGCTTCTCTTTCATTTTGGAAGAAATTAATTTGTTCAAAACTATTCAACTATTGTCTTTCTCTCTCTTTGAGTCAACTACTCACCACATTTTATGCTCTGCAGTGCTAGCTATCTGTAGCTTCTGCTTTCAGTACTAGATTCATTCTCTGATCCTTTGATTGGGTGGAAAACATGTCAGTTCATGCTGCAAGAGCTCTGATAGGTTGGAGGACATCCTCCGGAAGTTGTTATAATTACTATGTAAGTCTATGGAACGGGGTAAGAATCATGAGCCTCCTACGTGGTCCCCTCAAGAATCCTTGCAGGCCAGTACGTGGTCCCTGCTAAGGCCATACAGGCCCAGGCCGTCTGACGTTTGCAAGAGTGCATTTGGATGATCCAGAAGAGGATTGGGAGAATGTCATATGGTCAGATGCACATAACTCATTTGTTTTTTGAGATAAAACAATGCGTATCGTTGTATCTAAAAAGGATAACTTTTTTAATGTTATATCATTTTTATTTTTATGAAATTCACTGAGGAGGATGGTCCTCCCCTTTTCCTCTGAAAAGACTCCACTTGAAAGCCATTGGGGTGCAGGGTTTCTGTTAGCTGGTAATTGCCAGCTTTTGGCTTATAAAATAAATGAAAAGCCAATAGATAAAATTGTCCGGGGCTGCGCTGCTGCTGAGGAGAGAGAGAAAGCGAGAGAGGAACCTTGGCCTACTGTTGATTGTGAAGATGGAGGCCTTTTTCATTGAAGTAAAACGAAAGTTAGAGAGTAAGCTAGCCTAGGCCAAGGGGAGGAGGGGATGCTCCGGGAGAAAGTGTTCTGATTGTATAACATTTTATAATCCAATTGCTGGGAAAACACAGCTATCCTGTTGTCACAGATGGAGAGAATACCTTTTGTAGGTATACCTTCTTTCATTCTGTTGAGACATTTTCATTGGCTAAATTAAGTTTGATCAGTCTTTTTAATTGTGTGCTCTGTATTTAGTTTAAGATAGGTTATAAGTAGGCCTGTTGTAAAATAAATATCATCAGCCTATTGGTGTCATTTGTTGGGTACGGTAGGCACTAGCCTTTCTTGGTAATTCAGTTTATCAGTCAACCTACCAGGGTGGTTACAAACAGTACAGGAATTAAATCTTTACTAATGCTGCAGAGATTTGTTTGAAAGCAGTATCCAAATCCATTGGATGTACAGCTCACAATATAGTAGCCATATCTAGGAAAACTAAGTTGAATGCACCAATTTGTAAGTCGATCTGGATAAGAGTGTCTGCTAAATGACTTAAATGTAAATGTTATTGCTGCGATATATAGCCTGTTAAAAACTTTTGAGGAGGTTTAAACCAGTTCGCAAGTGTTTTGTTTCATTCTGTTGAGCCATGTTCTTTGGCCAAATTAAGTTCCAACTGTAATGTTGTGTTTGCCGCAATATAATATCCTTCTCGTATTTTCCTTAATAAAGTTTATAAACTTTTGTGAAGGTTTGGTATGGTGTGGTTATTAGCCTATTGTACTGCAGGCTTATGGTATGAAGGCAGTGCGCACAGGCACTCCAAATGACTCGGACAGTTGAACTTGAGGTGTGAAATAATGTTTTAGGCCTACCAGAGTTACTCCTATAATCTAACAATATAATGCTTATATTTGTAAAATATATTTGAATAGAAAATTAACGAATTAGCCTCCTTCTGTACATCTATACAATGAGGGAAAAAAGTATTTGATCCCCAGCTAATTTTGTATGTTTGCCCACTGACAAAGAAATTATCAGTCTATAATTTTAATGGTAGGTTTATTTGAACAGTGAGAGACAGAATAACAACAACAACAAAAAAACTGAAAAACGCATGTCAAAAGTGTTATAAATGTATTTGCATTTTAATGAGGGAAATAAGTATTTGACCCCCACTCAATCAGAAAGATTTCTGGCTCCCAGGTATCTTTTATACAGGTAACGAGCTGAGATTAGCAGCACACTCTTAAAGGGAGTGCTCCTAATCTCAGCTTGTTACCTATATAAAAGACACCTGTCCACAGAAGCAAACAATCAATCAGATTCCAAACTCTCCACCATGGCCAAGACCAAAGAGCTCTCCAAGGATGTCAGGGACAAGATTGTAGACCTACACAAGGCTGGAATGGGCTACAAGACCATCGCCAAGCAGCTTGGTGAGAAGGTGACAACAGTTGGTGCGATTATTCGCAAATGGAAGAAACACAAAATAACTGTCAATCTCCCTCTGCCTGGGGCTCCATGCAAGATCTCACTTTGTGGAGTTGCAATGATCATGAGAACGGTGAGGAATCAGCCCAGAACTACACGGGAGGATCTTGTCAATGATCTCAAGGCAGCTGGGACCATAGTCACCAAGAAAACAATTGGTAACACACTACGCCGTGAAGGACTGAAATCCTGCAGCGCCCGCAAGGTCCCCCTGCTCAAGAAAGCACATATACATGCCCGTCTGAAGTTTGCCAATGAACATCTGAATAATTCAGAGGAAAACTGGGTGAAAGTGTTGTGGTCAGATGAGGCCAAAATCGAGGTCTTTGGCATCAACTCAACTCGCCGTGTTTGGAGGAGGAGGAATACTGCCTATGACCCCAAGAACACCATCCCCACCCTCAAACATGGAGGTGGAAACATTATGCTTTGGGGGTGTTTTTCTGCTAAGGGGACAGGACAACTTCACCGCATCAAAGGGACGATGGATGGGGCCATGTACCGTCAAATCTTGGGTGAGAACCTCCTTCCCTCAGCCAGGGCATTGAAAATGGGTCGTGGATGGGTATTCCAGCATGACAATGACCCAAAACACACGGCCAAGGCAACAAAGGAGTGGCTCAAGAAGAAGCACATTAAGGTCCTGGAGTGGTCTAGCCAGTCTCCAGACCTTAAGCCCATAGAAAATCTGTGGAGGGAGCTGAAGGTTCGAGTTGCCAAACGTCAGCCTCGAAACCTTAATGACTTGGAGAAGATCTGCAAAGAGGAGTGGGACAAAATCCCTCCTGAGATGTGTACAAACCTGGTGGCCAACTACAAGAAACGTCTGACCTCTGTGATTGCCAACAAGGGTTTTGCCACCAAGTACTAAGTCATGTTTTGCAGAGGGGTCAAATACTTATTTCCCTCATTAAAATGCAAATCAATTTATAACATTTTTGACATGCGTTTGTCTGGATTTTGTTGTTGTTATTCTTTCTCTCACTGTTCAAATAAACCTACCATTAAAATTATAGACTGATCATGTCTTTGTCAGTGGGCAAACGTACAATATCAGCAGGGGATCAAATACTTTTTTCCCTCACTGTAAATACTTTACTCCACTGACTGTAGGTCTTTGATCCCTAGCTGTGATACTGTGAATCTGTTCACAGCACTTTCAGTCATGCTATTAATTAGTTGCCAAATTTGGCAAACCACAACATGTGGACTTACATACTAGATCATTTTGTATTGCTTTATAAGATGTAGTAAAATAAGAAATTAATGGATGTTGTGGAATATCTGTGTCCATGATGAAACAACAATGACTTGGGAATTAAAAAATGGATTTAATTACATTACACAACCCTATGCAGGGTAGTTGATGCTCTATTGATCATACAGACAGGTCAGTAAGTTAACTGGGACTGCCTTGTTTACATTGTTTGTGAAGTTAATCAAATGGAAAAATTGCACATACAATTCAAATCAGTTTTTTCCCTGGAGTCTGAACAGCACATGGAATCAGATATTTCAAGCCACATTTCAAACCACCTTCGTAGGTGGTTTGAAATCAGATACAAATCTGATTCCTGGCCATGCGACTTGTGTCTGAACAGTCAAATCTGATTTATTAGCCCTCAAGTTTTTTAGACTTATTTGGCATATCTTGTCGCTTGCTAGCTACTCTGTTAACAGTTTGACAAGGACATGTGGTAGCTAACTAGCTTGTTAATTGTTTACAAACAAATTAGTGAATGTGCCAGAAAGCTAAACAGCTACCTTGCTAGCCAGTTGACTGCTGTGGCTAGTCAAAACGGACTTGTTTTGAAAGTTGGATCATCTTATCCTTTGAGGACTGTAAAAATGTTCTTACACTATGATTTTTAACATTCAAAGCAACTGGGAGACGTCCATGGCAGGCATTGTTGTCACCTTAGCATGCTACATAACTTCTGAGTGATAGGAAGCAGGAGCAACACCACCAATCAACCTACACCACTGTGAGCACACACCCGTCATTACTATGACAACTAGCATAGCCATGTCAGCAAATGACTGCTGTATGAACACACACAAATCCGATTTGGTCACTTGTAACTTGCTGTTTGGACAGTCAGTATTCCAAAACGGATTTGAAAAACAAAACTAATTTGAGCATTAAGGCCTGCAGTGTGAACAAGGCTTCAGAGTCACTTGGTATTGACAGGTCCCTAAACAGATTAGGGCTGAAGCAAGTTCAAGTCACAGCTGTAGCTCATGTCAAGGAGAGAAAAAGGCCTGGCTCTTTCAATCAGTGGGTGGGAGTGAATCTGACACTTACTGTATAGGCCTTATACATTACCCTGGTCCCTGAAGATTCCTAGTGTTGTCCACTGTGGGTTATGACTGCAAAGGGAGGTGTACTATACTCAGAGGAACATTCAACCATCATTATCCAAAGAGGTAAAGCAAACTTGTTTGTGAAGAATAGCCACAATGGAGATGCAAAGGTGAGATGATAAAAATGACAAATCAATTTTCATCTTTATTCTCATTTTTACTTAGTAATAATAGGAATGTAGGCTTTTATTTGATGTAAAAAGTAACATAAATTGAGGGTGCAAATGCGTCATGATGAGCTCCTCAGAGGGCCTTTATGAAATGGTGAGAGTGTTACATCATTGGTTCTGAGCTAAACCAGCTGCACAGTAGGCTGTGATTGTCAGGTTTTAGATTAGGCTATCTGACTTAAGGCTATGTCACTCTACATCCAGCAAATAATTGCACTATAAACACTGCAAATCAATGAAAATATAATGAAAGTCTATAGAATACGTTTTGTGTGGGTTTCCATATTGAATATAAATAAATAAATTGGTCATTTAGCAGACGCTCTTATCCAGAGCAATTAGGGTTAAGTGCCTTGCTCAAGGGCACATCGACAGATTTTTCACCTAGTCGGCTTGGGGATTAGAACCAGCAACCTTTTGGTTACTGGTACAATGCTCTTACCCACTAAGCTACCTGCCTACCCCGTACATTTAGATGAAACTGGATTTTAAACACCTCTTAGTGAATGTTTGTTGATATTCCCTTATTGGAATGAAGTTGCAGAATACTTAAGAGTCAGTCTTATTTACCTCATTCTGTGACGGGAGCTCTTCTCTTCCCAGCCCTGTTGGCAGAGCTCTTATTAAGACATGTGCCTCACATTCCTGTCCATTCCCCACTGCACATTCAGCACCTCTGGCCTACTTATGTCAATAGAATTCATAGGCGAAATTGCCACAGTGGATGTGGGGACATGTCCCCCCCAATATTCAGAACAGGTCGATTCGTCCCCCACAATAAATAAAAAAATGTGGGGGTGGGGGGGCTTGTGGGGGGGTGATCGGGGGCCCCCCAGATAGCATTTGAACACGTCATAAGCAATGGCGAAATGTGTAGAATTGCAGGAAATTAGATTTAAAACTGCAACGTTTTCTCTCATCCTCATGACAAAATGTGTAGAATTGCATTATAAAACTGCACATTTTTCTCCCTGAAATATGATTGGCCACCCTTGGTGTTTTTGCGGATTGTAGTATACTGTAGTATTTACTGTAGTGTTTTTGCAGAATGTAATATACTGTAGTATTTACTATAGTGTTTTTGTTTAATTATCTTTGACATCGAAGTGGAGTCTTTCTCCTTGAGAAAACCTTCTGGAGAAAGACAGAAAGAGCACATTTTCCATAACCTTTAGGTATAGTACTGGGGTCTGAACAGATCGTTCAGCACTTCTGCTCTTTTCTATAACCTGTATGGAAGACAATATGGTCTATACTTGGCATGTGTGGTCCTCTGTAGCTCAACTGGTAGAGCACGGCGCTTGTAACGCCAAGGTAGTGGGTTCGATCCCCGGGACCACACATACACAAAAATGTATGCACGCATGACTGTAAGTCGCTTTGGATAAAAGCGTCTGCTAAATGGCATATTATTCTTATGTAGGTTTTTCACTTATGCGTGGCACAAATTAGGATATGGGGGAGGGGAATGTGCAGGGTATATGCAAATCAATTTAAATACTGTAGTATTTACTATGATAAAAAAAGTGGAGTCTTTTTGCGGACTGTAGTGTTTTTGCGGATATTACTGTAGTATATACTAGAGTGTTTTTTTTGCGGATAATACTGTTGTATTTACTATAGTATTCTACGGTATAATACAACAATCTATAGTAAGTACTACACATGCTTGAGGAATACTGCAGTGTGTAGTATAGTATTCTACAGTATACTACATAATTCTATAGTAAGTACTGTAGTATTCTACAGTAAATAGTAGTCTTTTTTCATGTGGGCTGTTAGGGTATATTATGAAACCTTCATACAGTGGGGAGAACAAGTATTTGATACACTGTCGATTTTGCAGGTTTTCCTACTTACAAAGCATGTAGAGGTCTGTAATTTTTATCATAGGTACACTTCAACTGTGAGAGACGGAATCTAAAACAAAAATCCAGAAAATCACATTGTATGATTTTTAAGTAATTAATTTGCATTTTATTGCATGACATAAGTATTTGATACATCAGAAAAGCAGAACTTATTATTTGGTACAGAAACCTTTGTTTGCAATTACAGAGATCATACGTTTCCTGTAGGTCTTGACCAGGTTTGCACACACTGCAGCAGGGATTTTGGCCCACTCCTCCATACAGAACTTCTCCAGATCCTTCAGGTTTCGGGGCTGTCGCTGGGCAATACGGACTATCAGCTCCCTCCAAAGATTTTATATTGGGTTCAGGTCTGGAGACTGGCTAGGCCACTCCAGGACCTCGAGATGCTTCTTACGGAGCCACTCCTTAGTTGCCCTGGCTGTGTGTTTCAGGTCGTTGTCATGCTAGAAGACCCAGCCACGACCCATCTTCAATGCTCTTACTGAGGGAAGGAGGTTGTTGGCCAAGATCTCGCGATACATGGCCCCCATCCATCCTCCCCTCAATACGGTGCAGTCGTCCTGTCCCCTTTGCAGAAGGTTCACGGTGCAGTCGTCCTGTCCATGCTTCACGGTTGGGATGGTGTTCTTGGGGTTGTACTCATCCTTCTTCTTCCTCCAAACACGGCGAGTGGAGTTTAGACCAAAAAGCTCTATTTTTGTCTCATCAGACCACATGACCTTCTCCCATTCCTCCTCTGGATCATCCAGATGGTCATTGGCAAACTTCAGACAGGCCTGGACATGCGCTGGCTTGAGCAGGGGGACCTTGCGTGCGCTGCAGGATTTTAATCCATGACGGCGTAGTGTGTTAATAATGGTTTTCTTTGAGACTGTGCTCCCAGCTCTCTTCAGGTCATTGACCAGGTCATGCCGTGTAGTTCTGGGCTGATCCCTCACCTTCCTCATGATCATTGATGCCCCACGAGGTGAGATCTTGCATGGAGCCCCAGACCAAGGGTGATTGACCGTCATCTTGAACTTCTTCCATTCTCTAATAATTGCGCCAACAGTTGTTGCCTTCTCACCAAGCTGCTTGCCTATTGTCCTGTAGCCCATCCCAGCCTTGTGCAGGTCTACAATTTTATCCCTGATGTCCTTACACAGCTCTCTGGTCTTGGCCATTGTGGAGAGGTTGGAGTCTGTTTGATTGAGTGTGTGGACAGGTGTCTTTTATACAGGTAACGAGTTCAAACAGGTGCAGTTAATACAGGTAATGAGTGGAGAACAGGAGGGCTTCTTAAAGAAAAACTAACAGGTCTGTGAGAGCCGGAATTCTTACTGGTTGGTAGGTGATCAAATACTTATGTCATGCAATAAAATGCAAATGAATTACTTAAAAATCATACAATGTGTGTATCAAATACTTGTTCTCCCCACTGTATGTAGGAAGATAGTCCGTGATCATTAGACAGTATGCAACACCACATTGAGCAAGTGTTAAACATATCAAAATATATTTTATAATTGAGATTCTTCAAGTAGCCACCCTTTTTCCTTGATGACAGCTTTGCACACTCTTGGCAACACCACCTTGCCAAGAGTGTGCAAAGCTGTCATCAAGGCAAAGAGTGGCTACTTGAAGAATCTCAAATATAAAATATATTTTGATTTGTTTAACACTTTTTTGGTTACTACATGATTCCATATGTGTTATTTCATAGTTTTGATGTCTTCACTATTATTCTACAATGTAGAAAATAGTAAAAATAAAGAAAAACCCTTGAATGAGTAGGTGTGTCCAAACTTTTGACTGGTACTGTATGTCTGGACAATGTCTGACTTTTAATTTCTGAAAACACAGATGAATCCTACTAAAAACCCTTTTCAATGGAGATTCTCTATTTAAAGTGCTTTTTAGTCCACGTCGAGTAGGCTTCATCTAGGTCTAGGAAACCAGCCCTGTATATTTTAAATCCCGTTATCACTAGGATGTACCTGTTTAAGTTGGAAGACAGAGCACTGTTTTCTTTAATTTAAAAACAATGAAACCTTTACAATTATTAAATTCCCTAAACAGGGGAAGGTTTTACAGCTGCAAGATGTTTTTAATAGAAAATATTTTTGCTGCAGTCTCAGAGCAAGAGACCTAACTAACCTGGATAAATAAAGGTTGAATAAAGAAAATGACATTTTTTACAGCTTTCTTACCTTTATGTCATTATGAGAGGCCGGATCAGGGGTATTGTTTCTGTTCGGCTGCTTGCTCGTATTCTATTCATGCTGTGGCTCATGAATTTTACAACTTGTATGTTGTTCTGAAACTGTATCTCAGTCCTTATGTACATAGATGTCCTGTCGTTTGTTTATGTTCATAGCTCACTCCTGCCTTGTTCATTTGTTCAGCTACCTTCAGATTCAATTCCTCAAAGACAAGTGTCTTCAAGTCCTTTTTTGCTGTAACAAAAACAGTATGTCACGGTATTAAAAAAGTGAATAAAATAAAACAAAAATAAAACACCAAGTGGAGATTAAAGGTAGTGTGAGAAATGCTAATAATAGAATAACTTGCCTCATTAAATGTTATGCTATGATGGACCACGGTATGAACTAAGCTAAGGATGGAGTTAAACCGGAGTGACATATATCATGATTGTTCTAGCGTTAGAGATACAGTGACAGGGAGGGATGTGATTGGGTGGTGGTAGCAGACAGGTTGTTAAGCAGTGTTTTCAAGAGGGCCAACCTCCCTGTAGGAGTAAGATATTGACCTGAGCACAAGAACACCCCCCTCACCTGTCAATATTGGGCTGAACTGAGAAACTACCATCAGGTAGAGACCCTGGTAGGGACGACTAGAGGCAATGGATCCTGCCACTGCAGACAATGTAAATATACTGTATTCATATATACTCATATAATGACAATAATGATGTGCAATGTTGGTTGATGATACAATGATAAATGATGTAAAGGTGCTCAACAGTAGCTGTGTGGGGTTTGGTACACACATGGAGTATTTGGTCACTTAAGAATATCTACTGCATTCCAACTGTAATCAAAGATTGATACTGATAATATCCATGGCACTCATTGAAAGCATGTTGAACTTTAAGCTTTTGGATGTTTTGATATTTGCTTTTTAGTGTTTGTTGGTCTTTTTTTCTAGCTTGGTGAAATAGAATGGTAAAAGCAGCAATCAGGCTGGTTCCACCAGGCTGGATTTGTTTTCATCGTCATGCGTGCAATTATATTACAAAATATTGCAGATATTTCTCAAGTTCCATTTGTTTTGAAATAATGTGCTTTGTGAAACAAGCAGGAGTTTTAAAAAATATATTTCCACTCTCTGAACATTTATGGAATGGATTTTTTTTTATTATTAATTGAAACCATTATCATTATTATTATAATAGTAATGCAATTGGTTCGTCTTCTACATTATATTACATTTTTGCATTGTGAAGTTTGATTTGAGGTGCAACCATGTCCACCCACTGCTCTGTAAACACATGTAGTTAAATAATGGTATTATATCAACAGGATAGACTATTCAATTTCCAATCAATGTGAATCAACAGGCACTTTTTTGGCATCATTTTCACTATGAGTTATAATACAAATGTTCTCAATCATGGAATCTCACTTCCATGAAAAGTGAAATAATTATAGGCCTACTTCACCAAGTTTAAGGAAATAAAATGTAGTGTATCTTTGGGAGCAGGCAACATTTTTGAAAAAGTGATAAAGGTCTGTTTGTCCTTTAGAATGAATGTGACATGTAAGAGGAATGGTATGGCCTTTCCAGACATCGTCAAGGTCCTAATAAAGTATTCTCTTCGATGTCAGGGTGAGAGTCATTATAGGTGTAATGGTTACATCTTAATGTCCTGTGTCATTGAAATATTCCTTGTATAGTCAAGACATGCCCGAATACTGCGCCACCCACATTGCTAAAGATAGCATTTATGGTGTTATTTACCAATTGGACATCGAAATAAGGTGATTGTGACAGGCTGGATTTGTCCTGTGTAACCATAAAAAATTAGCTGTTTCATTTGTTCATTTTGAGCTCTACAGCTTAGTGTGTGCTCTTTAAAAAACAACAGCTGTCAAACACGTAGCCCATCCATGTGACTCGTTAGAAAGATTATTTATCACTGGCTCCATTAAAAATAGTTTCAGGTAGTAATGGTTTTATTGCCCATAAACAACCACTTATATCAGACGGTACATAATTTGTCACAGGTAGTAGAATACAGAACACAAGTCAATGATTTGTATAAATAGACATTTGGATGCTGTAAGCCTACTAAGTAATCTCTTCCTGTCCTGTCTGTGTCATAGAATGTAGTTATGTTCTATGAGGCTACAGGGCCCGGAGCAAGCAGTTGGTGGGAAGTGTAGGAGAGGGGGTGGAGGGCCATTACATGGCTGGAGCCTTTGGTCATCGTGCATGGCGGCATGGTCATAGAGGTAGTGACACTCAGATTTCACCTCCATTCCTAATACTGACTGACTGGAGGCGATGGCAGCCAAAGGCATCTCACTCACTCCCATGGATTTCTCAGCTCACCCCTTCCTTCTCCCAATCGTGCCAGCTGGGCCGTGACAGGAAACCTTGCCCTGTGGTGGGGGCAGGCGAGACACCCAGGCTGGAACATGATCTCATTCCTTGCCGGCTCCAAACACATATAAAATGTTGAACTGAGGCCTGCAACCGTAGAGCACAGACAGTTGACACTGGCTATTGACTGGAGATTTGAGCTGCCACATATACTTGACAAATGATGATGGGTATTCTACGAGTACAAGAGCTGGTAGATCTTTACGTCTTTATCTCTTTTTCAAAATCTAGAGACTTTCATTGTGGATTCCACTTGATTTGTATTGCAATCCACAGAATAACCACAGTTGCAAGGAATTTAGGGTTGAAATGAGGATTTCAGGTGTTGGACTATGTTCACAGCTTTCATGATGCTTAGCTGCAACCTCAACAACCCTTTGAGATTAATATGAATTTCTACAGCAACAGTTTGAGAATGATAATCACACGAAGACTGAAATTCTTCATACACATGCTGCTGGGTGTCTTTAACTTACTCCCTCTATCACAGATGCCAATGGGCATGGGGGCATAGGACACACAGGATTGTCTCAGTTGCTCACATATTCCTAATACAGTCTTGTCTTTCATGTTCAAGGTTTCCGGCAAGAAATGTGAGGGTAAAGAATCCGGAGATGTGCAGTATTCAGAGGGAGAATACGAGACATCAGTCAACCAGGAGAAACAAGATTACCTGAGATCTCACAATGACAACCTGGCTGACACAGATGTCCCAATGAATTTAAATGTAAGTCGAATACTATCTTAGTGTCCTTAGTACAATGCCAGCAACCCTGTTAAGAGGTTTAGACCTGATGATCATGTGTTGAATTGACAGACATAAGGTTGCAGTTTGAATCTTGGTTGGGCAACCCTCTGAATTTGCTGCAGTAGCCATGACACTAACTTCAAATAAATCTGAAATCAAAAAGTGTAATCATAGAGATAATGGCACCAAGGGCTAAATCCTCAATTGGGAAGCCGCTTTATAGGAGTGCAAGATGTATAACATCTCTCTCCTTGAAATGTTTGGTTGGCAGGTAGACAAATCTGGACATCTGCGGTTAGAGACAATTGATGACCTCCAGAATATGCTGCAACTGAGGAAGTCGAGAAAGAGAGTGAGAAGAGTACAAGTTCGCAAGCCACCACCCGCACCAGAGACTGTGGTAAGACAGGCCTACTAGCTGAGTAGGGTGATAAAGTATCTAATTTGAGACATAGGAATAGAGGCAATTTACTTTAAGATTTGACCCTTCATAAGAAGACAAATAATTACTAAGTAACTGCTACATTCAGCTAAATAACCATCTCTCTTTCCAGCCTTACTATGTGGATGAGGTGGACTTCTTCAAGGCCTGTGAGGAGAACAAACTGCCATTGATCGAGAGGTATCTGGAAAAATCGGGAGATGTCAATGCTTGTGACAATGTGAGTGTTTAGATAATACCAACCAACCTGAAGTTTGCCAATGCACCTCAGCTGTGTCATCACATGTAGTGTGTGTTGTAATGCAATGTGTCCTGCTTCCTTTACAGTTCAGACGTACAGGCCTGCACAGAGCTTGCACACAGGGACATGTGGACGTTGTAAAGAGGCTACTGGAGGCCGGATCTTTAATTGAGAACAAAGACAAGGTACTTTAATGGAAAAATTCAAAATAACTGCAGGTCCACGGGAGCCAAGCTCTTGGCAATATATTGCACAGTCTTTGATCCTTTACTGTAAAATCATTTTGAGTGTTGATGAGAGAAAGGAACAGATAAAAACAAGGTGGATTTTTTGAAATGTATAATCCCATTGGTTGTCTACCTTTAGCTGGATGCCACTGCTGTCCATTGTGCCTGCCGAGGAGGAAGCATGCTTGTGTTAAAACTGCTGCTCAACCACGACGGCAGCTTCTCTGCCAGGGATAAGGTAAGCCTACAGAACACTAAACTAGCAATCCAGACTTGGATCTGAGATTATGTTAATTGTGATTGATCTTGAAATGTTTCTTTGTCCCTAAGCTACGCAGCACTCCCCTTCATGTTGCAGTGAGAACCGGACACTATGAATGTGCTGAACATCTCGTCCACTGTGGAGCGGACATCAATGCCAAAGACAGAGTGAGCTATTCTCATTCAGTGTAGGAATTAAACCTTTGCTCTGATAGACAGTATATACCCCTTAGAATCTAATCAGAAATATGAAACACCAATGGGTCTTTAACTATGAGGGGTTTTATTTTCACACAGGAAGGAGATACCCCCATGCACGATGCAGTAAGACTGAACAGATTCAAAATCATCCAACTACTCCTGCTTCATGGAGCCAATCCAAAACTCAAGAATTGTGTAAGTACTTGACTAACATGGCCAGCAAACTTGTTACCTCAATCTATCATAGTATAGAATGTCGTATTTTGTTTGAATAACACAATGATTTTAAAATGACTTATTTGCTTGTAAGGCTTACATGTATCATGTATTCAGAGAATCAAACTAGTGATAGCAAAGGTGACAGGATTGATACATGACCACAGTGCCATCCTGTGGTGATGCATAAGATTGAATCTGAGTACAGAAGAAATAAGGCCCATATCAACTTTACATTTTTGTCATTTAGCAGAAGCTCTTATCCAGAGCGACTTAGGAAAACATCACATAGTCAAAAGTGATTGATGTAACATAACACTAACTACTATTGAAATATTGAATATAACTTTGTTTTTCTCCAACACAGGAGGGGAAGTCACCATTGGATAGCACTCTGGAGTGGCAGAGTGGGGCTAAATCTATTCTCAGCAACTTCAAGGATGATGCAAAAACTCCAGTCAAGTAAAGTCCAGTTCAGTTAAATTGCATTTTACACAAGTCTCAAACTCAGAATAAGTAGATAACAGCAAAGACTAACCCAGTTCCTTTGTGGAGAGTGGTTGTCAAAGTGAGTCTATCTGTTGATTATGGACATACAGCTTCCAAGGTTTCAATGAACGCTAGGCTGACTTCAAGACCGGAGTCATTTCTTGCGAACTAGCAGAGGTTTGTGCTGAAACAAGTAACTTTGCATTTGCTTCTAAGGATGTTTGTTTCTTTATATGCAGTTTATTGGAGGTCTGAGATGCTCAAGAAGGTTGAAAAGGTTGACAAATAACTATATGGGGAAAGAGAAAGTTGAAAGTTTGGAAAATGTAGATGGGACTTGACTTATGACATCAGCATGTCTATACTATGCATTCAGTTAAGTACTAAATTGTAGTTTAATTGTTGAAATAAATACTTTGAATCAATATATTCTTAATTTCTCTTTAATATAAAAGAACAGTGAGCTGGTGGCTTCAAACTGATTTAGTGGTAGTCAGTGAGAATACAGGATTTGAAAATGCTTGTATGATTCTAATGCACTTCCTGAAGTAATTTTAATTGTTCTACTACATGTTTACCTTTAACATTTTGCTTATTATTTTACATTACGTTATGAAATAAACAGCATTGCCGTTGCCATCTGAATTTGTTTGCTATGTCTAAAAGGAACAAGCATCATCATAGTTGCTAATCCATGACAAACTACATGACCACTGACCAGTTATTAGAAAACAGTCACATTTCCACAAATAAGGATATTCATAAAAGTGCATTTACATAAACACATTCTCTATCCATGAAGAAAAAGTATTACAATTCAAACAAGTGATTACTTTCTACTTCGCCATCTCAATCTTAGCCCTCTTTGATGCTGGAACATCCTCTTTCTCCTGTCTCTCAGTCAAAGGCTGCTCATTCTTCATAGTGTGTACTATACCCAAGGCAGTCTTTCTCTTTTCTGTAATGACAACACTGCATATTAATTGATTTCCTTGTGGCACAAACACTGCTTTGAGAATGATAGACAAGTAATAAATGTTGTTCAATGACACATTGTGTTACATGATAATCACAACATTCACATTCCATGGATGGCCTACTCTTACTTGGCCTTGTAACCAAGTGTACATACCTGCCTGGCATATGACATTTGACACAATGTATTCAATTGATCGACCAATGTGTAAAAACAGCAGCCTATTTACCTCCATGTAAGTGGACAGCTCGACAGTTGGTGGAGATCGCAGCTTTGCCATCTCCTTCTGACAGGCCAAACAGTAGGCCTCTGAATACATTCAGGATAATAGCAGTGACACAGGTTGGCCTCATCACACCTGCATATAGTCTATCTGTAATACTGTACCATATTCTAGAAGCCTAGATCAAGTACTGTACTAGCTACAGTTGAAGTCAGAAGTTTACATACACTTAGGTTGGAGTCATTAAAACTCGTTTTTCAACCACTCCACAAATTTCTTGTTATCAAACTATAGTTTTGGCAAGTCGGTTAGGACATCTACTTTGCGCATGACACAAGTCATTTTTCCAACAATTGTTTACAGACAGATTATTTCACTTCAATTTCACTATATCACAATTCCAGTGGGTCAGAAGTTTACATACACTAAGTTGACTGTGCCTTTAAACAGCTTGGAAAATTCCAGAAAATGATGTCATGGCTTTTGAAGCTTCTGATAGGCTAATTGACATCATTTGAGTCAATTGGAGGTGTACCTGTGGATGTATTTCAAGGCCTACCTTCAAACTCAGTGCTTATTTGCTTGACATCATGGGAAAATCAAAAGAAATCAGCCTAGACGTCAGAAAAAAAATTGTAGACCTCCACAAGTCTGGTTCATCATTGGGAGCAATTTCCAAATGCCTGAAGGTACCACGTTCATCTGTACAAAAAATAGTACGCAAGTATAAACACCATAGGACCACGCAGCCGTCATACCGCTCAGGAAGGAGACGTGTTCTGTCTCCTAGAGATGAACGTACTTTGGTGCGAGAAGTGCAAATCAATCCCAGAACAACAGCAAAGGACCTTGTGAAGATGCTGGAGGAAACAGGTACAAAAGTATCTACAGTGGGGAGAACAAGTATTTGATACACTGCCGATTTTGCAGGTTTTCCTACTTACAAAGCATGTAGAGGTCTGTAATTTTTTATCATAGGTACACTTCAACTGTGAGAGACGGAATCTAAAACAAAAATCCAGAAAATCACATTGTATGATTTTTAAGTAATAATTTGCATTTTATTGCATGACATAAGTATTTGATACATCAGAAAAGCAGAACTTAATATTTGGTACAGAAACCTTTGTTTGCAATTACAGAGATCATACGTTTCCTGTAGGTCTTGACCAGGTTTGTACACACTGCAGCAGGGATTTTGGCCCACTCCTCCATCCAGACCTTCTCTAGATCCTTCAGGTTTCGGGGCTGTCGCTGGGCAATACGGACTTTCAGCTCCCTCCAAAGATTTTCTATTGGGTTCAGGTCTGGAGACTGGCTAGGCCACTCCCTGGCTGTGTTTCGGGTCGTTGTCATGCTGGAAGACCCAGCCACGACCCATCTTCAATGCTCTTACTGAGGGAAGGAGGTTGTTGGCCAAGATCTCGCGATACATGGCCCCATCCATCCTCCCCTCAATACGGTGCAGTCGTCCTGTCCCCTTTGCAGAAAAGCATCCCCAAAGAATGATGTTTCCACCTCCATGCTTCACGGTTGGGATGGTGTTCTTGGGGTTGTACTTATCCTTCTTCTTCCTCCAAACACGGCGAGTGGAGTTTAGACCAAAAAGCTCTATTTTTGTCTCATCAGACCACATGACCTTCTCCCATTCCTGCTCTGGATCATCCAGATGGTCATTGGCAAACTTCAGATGGGCCTGGACATGCGCTTGCTTGAGCAGGGGGACCTTGCGTGCGCTGCAGGATTTTAATCCATGATGGCGTAGTGTGTTACTAATGGTTTTCTTTGAGACTGTAGTCCCAGCTCTCTTCAGGTCATTGACCAGGTCCTGCCGTGTAGTTCTGGGCTGATCCCTCACCTTCCTCATGATCATTGATGCCCCACGAGGTGAGATCTTGCATGGAACCCCAGACCGAGGGTGATTGACCGTCATCTTGAACTTCTTCCATTTTCTAATAATTGCGCCAAAACAGTTGTTGCCTTCTCACCAAGCTACTTGCCTATTGTCCTGTAGCCCATCCCAGCCTTGTGCAGGTCTACAATTTTATCCCTGATGTCCTTACACAGCTCTCTGGTCTTGGCCATTGTGGAGAGGTTGGAGTCTGTTTGATTGAGTGTGTGGACAGGTGTCTTTTATACAGGTAACGAGTTCAAACAGGTGCAGTTAATACAGGTAATGAGTGGAGAACAGGAGGGCTTCTTAAAGAAAAACTAACAGGTCTGTGAGAGCCGGAATTCTTACTGGTTGGTAGGTGATCAAATACTTATGTCATGCAATAAAATGCAAATTAATTACTTAAATATCATACAATGTGATTTTCTGGATTTTTGTTTTAGATTCTGTCTCTCACAGTTGAAGTGTACTTATGATAAAAATGACAGACCTCTACATGCTTTGTAAGTAGGAAAACCTGCAAAATCGGCAGTGTATCAAATACTTGTTCTCCCCACTGTATATCCACAGTAAAAACTAGTCCTATATCGACATAACCTGAAAGGCCGCTCAGCAAGGACAAAGCCACTGCTCCAAAACCGCCATAAAAAAACCAGACTACGGTTTGCAAATGCACATGGTGACAAAGATCGTACTTTTTGGAGAAATGTCCTCTGGTCTGATGAAACAGAAATAGAACTGTTTGGCCATAATGACCATCGTTATGTTTGGAGGAAAAAGGGGGATGGCTTGCAAGCCGAAGAAAACCATCCGAACCGTGAAGCACGGGGGTGGGGCAGCATCATGCTGTGGGGGTGCTTTGCTGCAGGAGGGACTGGTGCACTTCACAAAATAGATGGCATTATGAGGAAGTAAAATTATGTGGATATATTGAAGCAATATCTCAAGACATCAGTCAGGAAGTTAAAGCTTGGTCGCAAATGGGTCTTCCAAATGGACAATGACCCCAAGCATACTTCCAAAGTTGTGGCAAAATGGCTTAAGGACAACAAAGTAAAGGTATTGGAGTGGCCATCACAAAGCCCTGACCTCAATCCTATAGAAAATGTGTGGGCAGAACTGAAAAAGCGTGTGCGAGCAACGAGGCCTACAAACCTGACTCAGTTACACCAGCTCTGTCAGGAGGAATGGGCCAAAAATCACCCAACGTATTGTGGGAAGTTTGTGGAAGGCTACTCGAAAACGTTTGACCCAAGTTAAACAATTTAAAGGCAATGATACCAATGTGATTTAAGAAATAAAAGCAGAAATACTCTCTCTACTATTATTCTGACATTTCAAATTCTTAAAATAAAGTGGTGATCCTAACTGACCTAAAACAGGGAATTTTTACAAGGATTAAATGTCAGGAATTGTGAAAAACTGAGTTTAAATGTATTTGGCTAAGGTGTATGTAAACTTCTGACTTCAACTGTAGGTAATGTTTAAGAAAGGATACAAATTGGAAATGTCGTAGGGTCCTCTCAACTCAAGGGGCTGATTGAACAAAACACACATTTACAGTAGTATGGTTAATTTCAGCAAGATGTTAATATCAGTATGTTCAATGCTCATGGTATGACTGGTATCTAAGTGGGTAAGATACCTTTTCTGCCCCACTGGTCACGATTACATTCTGTTAAAAAAAACATTGCTGTTACACGGACTGTATGAAAATGGCAGGTTGATTGACAGGTGAAGTGAAGTTGAACCATGTTGGGTCTATTTACCTTTCCTTTGCACGTCTCCATAAGACTGAGAGCATTTGCAATGGTGTATCTTCTCATGGTGGAGTCTCGGATTGCAGGTGTGTAACTTATCTCAAAAAACACACCCCTTTCAATTGCCTGATACAAGCACAACATACATTACCTACTGTATATCACTTACAAATGACCAATCAATCTGTTCATTCAAATACACAGAGAGCAAGGGTCTTACCCCACTGACTGAAGATCTTTTGAAAAAAAAGGGCAGTTTTTCTGTCACTGCTACACAGATGATGTCAATAGTAAATTCCATGCAGGCTGCCTATTGAAACAAAGAGAATACCAACATTAGCAGAAAGTCATCCATACATTGCCAGTGTAGTCAACAATAATACAGTACATTTTGTTGACGGTGCTGAACAAATGTACTTACATGAAACAACTTCTCAGTTTTAGGATAGGCAGCCACTAAGTCATAGGCTTTGTACTCTCTTAATGGTTTCTGGGAAAGGATAAATTACATTAGGCCTATTTGAGAAATTATGCAATATGAATACTGTCAGCAAATGTTCAAACTTCTACTGTATATTGGACTCACAAAGTGTGCTGCCCTTGAGGCCACAACTGTCAGTCGGTTCAACACCTTGATTGGTCTGGATTTACCCTGTACAAAATGAGGGGGACATACAGTGCCTTCAGAAAAGTATTTTCAAGTCTTGCCATAGATTCTCAAGACGATTTAAGTCAAAACTGTAACTAGGCCACTCAGGAACATTCAAAGTCGTTTTGGTAAGCAATTCCAGTGTACATTTGGCCTTGTGTTTTAGGTTATTGTCTCCCAGTGCCTGTTTGAAAGCAGACAACCAGGTTATCCTCTAAGATTTTGCACATGCTTAGCTATATTCCGTTTCTTTTTATCGTAAAACACTCCCTAGTCCTTGCCGTTGACAAGCATACCCATACCATGATGCAGGCCACCATAATGCTTGGAAATATGAAGAGTGGTACTTGTGTTGTTTGCCCCAAACATAACACTTTGTATTCAGGACATAAAGTACATTACTTTGCCACATTTTTTGCAGTTTTACTTTAGTGCCTTGTTGCAAATAGGATGCAGGTTTTGTAATATTTGTATTCCTTCTTTTCACTCTGTCATTTAGGTTAGTATTGTGGAGTAACTAAAATGTTGTTGATTCATCATCAGTTTTCTCTTATCACAGCCATTAAACTCTGTTACTGTTTTAAAGTCACCATTGGCCTCATGAAATCCCTGAGCAGTTTGCTTCCTCTCCTGCAACTGAGTTAGGGAGGAAGCCTGTATCTTTGTAGTGACTGGGTGATTGATACACCATCCAAAATATAATAGTAACATCACCGTTCTCAACAGGATATTCAATGTCTGCTTTAAAAAATAAAAATAAACCATCTACCAATCGGTGCCCTTCTTTGCAAGGCATTAAAAAACTTCCCTGGTCTTTGTGGTTGAATCTGTGTTCGAAATTCAATGCTCGACTGAGGGACTTTACAGATACATGTATGAGGGGTACAGAGATGAGGTAGTCATTCAAAAATCATGTTAAATATTATTATTGCAACGTATTATGTGACTTGTTAAGCAAATATTTACTCCTGAACTTATTTAGGCTTGCCTTTACAAAAGTGTTGAATACTTATTGACTCAAGACATTTCATCTTTTCATTTGTAACAATTTTGAAAAACATAATTCCACTTTGACATTATTGGGTATTGTGTGTAGGCCAGTGACATCTCAATTTAATCCATTTTAAATTCAGGCAGCAAGACAACAAAATGTGTAAAAGTCGAGGGGTTGTGAATACTTTCTGAATGCACTGTAATTATCCCAAGGTATGGAGAAATGGGATAGCTAGCTTCAACAATATTACATAATGTAGCAACATTATTATTACACCACATTACCTGCACTATGGGAAATGTATTAAAAAGCTCAGACACACACTTCGGTTTGCCAATTTCCTGTAAACATACGCAAACAACAAGGTTGACAGTCACTCACTGGGATATGTACAAGGATAGACCTCTTGACTTCATGATGAGTCATAACTGGGTACAATCAGTAGCCTACCTGTTTATTTTGTTCCAAATCAACCACATAATTAATGGCAACGGTGGAGTATCCAACTGAGACATGAAAACATCAATGGATTAGTACAAATCAATCAAGACATAGTTCAGCTAGCTCTGGTCCATCGCGCAACAACAACAGCTGCTGCCAGTAATGCCATTGCCCAGCCCTTGAAGTTAGCAACGAAAGACGATGTCAATATCTTTGAAGTTTGTGCTAGCTAAACAGTTTTGCAAATGGAACAAGATAAAACATAATTACGATGAGCTGCTGTTTCAATAACACTCTGAAGTCGTTTTTTGTCGGTTGTGTAGCTAATATTCAAGTCCATGAATACAGCCATGTTTCCATGTGAGTTGACCGAAATGCCTTATGGGACATAACGTTTTTATTTCTCGCATCCGGTTGTTGGATAGGACAAGGCAAGTTCTCTGATTGGTTCAGTTATGCATCAGATTGTAGTTTAAATTAACTTGAACAAATTGACTTTGAATCCAATACATTTCAAAATTCTCTTTAATATAAAAGAAAATGTCACAAAACAATAGTCTACAAATAAGGAGTATATATCCATAAAAGGCGATTTACATAAACATATTCTCTTTCCATAAATAAACAGTATCAAAATCAAAACAAGCCACCACTTTATACAGTATTACCAATCTACACAGTCTCAATCTTAGCCCTCTTTGATGCTGGAACATGCTCTTCCTCCTGTCTCTCAGTCAACTGGTCTTTCTTCATAGTGTGTACGATACCCAAGGCAGTCTTTCTTGTTTCTGTAATGACAACACGGAACATAAATTGGTTATCTTGTGCCGCCCACAAATATTGACTTGAGACTGATACCCAAGTAATAAATGTAGTTAAATTACACATTGTGTTACATGATAGTCACAACATTCACATTCCATGGATGGGCTATTCACTTGCCCTTGAAAACCAAGTGAAGATACATGGCATATGACATTTGACACAATGTATTAAATTGATCGACCAATGTGTAAAAACCAGCAGCCTATTTACCTCCATGTAAGTGGACAGCTCGACAGTTGGTGGAGATCGCAGCTTTGCCATCTCCTTCTGACAGCCCAAACAGTAGGCCTCTGGTCACCATTCAGGATAATAGCAATAACACAGGTTAGCCTCATCACACCTGCATATAGTATGTACCATATTCTAGCAGCCTACATCAAGTACTGTAGTAGGTAGGTAATGTTTTATGAAAGGATACAAGTTGGCAATGTCGTAGGGTCCTCTCAACTCAAGGGGCTGAATGAGAATGAGAGACAAAAAACATTTACATTGGTAAGGTTCATTTCAGAAAGATGTTAACATGCTCAATCTTCATATGATTGGTATCTAAGAGGGTAAGACAATATCTCATTTCTATCTTACCTTTTCTGCCCCACTGGTCACAATTACATTCTGTTTGAATAAAAAAACATTGCTGTTACACGTACTGTTTGAAAATAGTAGGTGGATTAAGAAGTGAACAATAAACCATGATGAGTTGATATACCTTTCCTTTGCACGTCTCCATGAGACTGATGGCATTTGCGATGGTGTATCTTCTCATGGTGGAGTCTCGAATAGCAGGTGTATAACTTATCTCAAAGAACACACCTCTTTCAATTGCCTTACACAAGCACAAGTAATATCACTTTTACTACATAAGAAGTATCCAGTCCAACCAAAACAAACAAGTTGTAGGCAAGTCTCCAAATCACTACAAAGTAAGTTGTTAATTCAAATACTGAGAAATATAGATACTTACCCCATTTACTGGAGATCTTTTGAAGAAGAAGGGTTGTTTTTCTGTCACTGCTACACAAATGATGTCAACATCAAATGTCATGCAGGCTGCCTATTGAAACAAGTAGAAGGCCAAAATTAGCAGAAGGTCATCCTATTCCTAACATACATTGTTAGTAGTGGATGGTAATACACAGTGATAATGATCCTGAACAAAAGTACTAACATGAAACAACTTCTCTGTTTTAGGATAGACAGCCACCAAGTCATAGGCTTTGTACTCTGCAGTTGGTCTCTGGAAAGGGATAGATGTAGTTATTTGAGAAATTATGCAATATGAATACTGTCAGCAAATGTTCAAACTTCTACAGCATATTGGACTCACAAAGTGTGATGGGTCAGAGGCCACAACTGTCAGTCGGTTTAACACCTTGATTGGTCTGGATTTACCCTGTGCAAAAGGAAAGGGATATTACCTATTATCCCGATTCCCAATGCACGGAGAAATGGGATAGGTAGCATCATGAAAAAGTATAACATTATGTGTCAACATTATTATTATGCCACATTACCTGCACTATGGGAAATGTATCAAACAGCTCTGAGACACATTTTGGTTTGCCAATTTCCTGTAAACATAAGCAAACAAACGTTAACAAGGGTGAGGAATAGTTATCTTTGACTTCCTCACTCATTAACTGGGAACACTGAGGAGCTTACCTGTTTCTTTTGTTGCAAATCAACCACATAATTGATGGCAACTGTGGAGTATCCAACTGAAACATGAAAACATTAGCTACTTGATAAGCAAATCAATCAAGACATATTTTAGCTAGCTCTGGTCCTGCTACATATATGGCTGCCTAGCCTAGAAGTTAGCAAAGACGATTCAGCGAATCTGAAGTTAGTGCTAGCTAAACAGTTTTGCAAACGTAAACAAGATAAAACAGCTATTTACGGCGAGCTGCTAGCCAGCTAGCCAAGTTGAGAGCCATGGTATTCTTTATGAGGTTAGTGGAAGCTAGTTAAACAATTTAGCAAATGTGACCAAGATAATAAAACATAGTTACGGTGAGCTGCTGTTTCAATAACACTCTGAAGTCGTTTCTTGTCGGTTTTGTAGCTAATATTCAAGTCCATGAACACAGCCATGTTTCCATGTGTAAAATGCTAAACTTGCATGTGGACGGTGAGTTAACATAATTCCTTATGGGACATGTAGTCCGCATAGGTTGTTGGCTATAACAAGTTCTCTGATTGGTCCAGTTTGAAAATAAGACCGCGGCCAGCTTGTTCAAAAACGAATGGAGAGGAATGTAGCTAGCTACGTCAATGTTTCGATGATTAAAAACACACAAAACGTGAGTTATTATAGTAGTTAAACGTTTTTATCAGTATACAAAAGATGGATGTATAACTTTTTTACTCTGTCTGTGCCAACGTGTTTGCTCTTCTCTCTTTCCAGCGAGACAGAACGGTAACGTAGCTGGCTAGCTAGCCTAGCTAACATAACGGTTAGCCTTGCCCTTGGCTAATTTATTGTAGGCTAGCTAAAGAGTAAAGGACATCATTATAAACAATGTGAAATGTCTGTCTTTTTTTAGAGTGATGGATACGTGTTTGGACAAGAAACCAGAGAGAGTGGGGCCTATTGTTGTTGATGATTTGAGAAAGGACTTGTTTGCAGATTTTTCTGCAATTCCATCTGTTCTGCCACAGGTTTGATTTTGTGAACTTTGTACTGTATTGGGGTGTTTTTTGATGTGACAAGCTAACTAGGGGATTTTTGTTATCGGATGTTTTAATGTTATTAGCTATATAACTAGCTAGATTTAGTAATTACTTTCTTTTTTTTTTTTTATCACAAAATCCCCCAAGAAAGGCTGTATATTTTCTCTCCCTACAGGATTGTGTATTATTTGAGAAAGAGCATCTGCGGGTCTACCTCAGGATACGTCCCTTTACCACAGTAGAGAATGAAGGTGGTGAATCTCAGGTATGTTCCCATGACGCATACAGGACACTGAGATGAGGATCATGATGATTGATCTGCCACAAAAGGACCTTGATATACTGTAAAGCTACAGTCTGTATGATTTCCAGTAATTACAACCAATGAAAAATAACCTTGGATTAGATGAATATGATTTAGAAAAATCTCAGTAGGATTACACCTGTGTCAAGACACTAACTGCAGTAGCAAGGGGCAGGATGGTCAGTCAGTGGTCCTTTGCTGATCAGAGTGCATTTGTTGACATGCTCCTTTTTTCCTCTGTTTAAATCCAGGAATGTGTGTCCATGGAGCCACCAGACACCGTTTTACTCAGGGCTCCTAGAAGCTCTTTATCAACCAGACGACAAACCAGTCACTCAGACGGTGACAAACCAGTCAGTCAGACCGCCCAAAGATTTCAGTTCTCTCAGGTAAGGCCTTCTCCAGCTGTTTAATTAGTAGCTATTTGTAAAGATTGGCTTTACAAAAAAAATTGTGTGGAGCGTGACCATTTTTCCTACACTCTTTATCCCTCCCTCCAGGTATATGGCCCTGACACTACACAGAGGCAGATGTTTGATGGCACAGTGAAACGTCTGGTCAGAGATGTTCTAGAAGGAGGGAATTCTATTGTCTTCACATATGGAGTCACCAACGCCGGGAAGACATTCACATTCCTTGGTCAGAATTATTTGAGCATGTTTCAATTTGCATTTGACATTTTAACGTTGGGTTATTTTCGACAATGTTTTATATGGAGACAAATTTGACCTTTCTCTGTTTCATATCAGATGCTCACCACAATAAAAACAACTGTGTGACAGCTACAGGTTCATGTTAAACACTTTTGGCATCATGCATTTTTAACTCTTTGTCTATTTTTACTTCCAGGCCCTGAGAGTGATGGTGGAATTCTTCCAAGGTCTTTGAACGTGATCTTCAACAGCATCGAGGGCAGGGTCTACGCACAGAACAACATCAAACCACATCGATGCAGAGACTTCACTAGGCTCACAAAGGACCAGCAGGATGAAGAGTCTACTAATAAGCGAAACCTCATGAGACTGTCAAAGGAGGTGAGGTTTAACAATAAAACCTCTCGCACAATTCCCCCCCCTGCTTTGCTTTCTTACTGAAATGTAAATTAGTCTCATCCTACTTTCTTTCCCGCTGTTTGTTTTCTTCAGAGTGATTTTCTGAAAAGCACGATGAGCTCCACTTGCAGGTCAACAATACTGGAGGGTAAGAAACTTGTTGCAGGCCTTGAGTATGCAAAGTACAGTAGCTATGTATTTTATGAGTTTCTTGAAACTATATTTGACACCATATAAACATCTTATTGTTACACTGTTTTTTTAATCAGTGTAAGATTTGTTGTTTGATTGACAGGTTCCTCCTTGAGCAACATCAGTGATCAGGGGGAAGGAGACAGTTTCTGTCTGGATGTGGACTCTCACACTAAATACTCTGTGTGGGTTTCCTTCTGTGAAATCTACAATGAGAATATCCACGACCTACTGGAGCCCATTCCTAATGGCTCACATAGGAGAACCGTCCTTCGGCTGTCCCAAGACATCAAAGGAAACACCTTTGTGAAAGGTAATGTCACTTTGATTGAATATGTGATGAATTAGCCTAGATGCTATGGGATTTCAGTTGATACAGAACATTCTCATACTCATGGTTTCTCTTGTAGATTTAAAGTGGGTTCAAGTAAATAATTCCGAGGAGGCTTACAAAGTCCTGAAGATTGGAAAGAAGAACCAGAGTTTCTCCTGCACAAAGCTCAACAACGTCTCAAGCCGAAGCCATAGCATATTTTCCATTCGTGTCTTACGGATTGAAGATGTTGGTATACCCAGAGTCCACACAATTAGCGAGTAAGTGACCAAGTTATTACATTTTTCCCCCTGCTTTTCTCTATATTGTCTTGTTTTAATTCATGGTTGTGTGTTATGTCTAAGGTTGTCGTTGTGTGATCTGGCTGGATCTGAGAGATGTGCAAAGACTCAGAATAAAGGAGTGCAGCTAAAAGAGGCTGGCAATATTAACACCTCATTGCTCATTCTGGGCAAATGCATCAATGCTCTGAGGCTCAACCAACAAGCCAAGTGAGTATTTTAACCTGTATACAGATTTATTATTTTACACACACTGACTGCACGTTTGTTTATAACAAACCAATATAATGCTGCTTTTATCCTATGTAAATATTGTCCAGGTTCCAACAACATGTGCCCTTCAGGGAGAGCAAGCTCACACACTACCTCCAGGGGTTTTTCTGTGGTAGAGGGAAAGCCTGCATGATCGTCAACATCAACCAGTGTGCCTCCATGTACGACGAGACGCTCAACGTCCTCAAGTTCTCCGCCGTCGCCCAAAAGGTCATTCAGTGGAGCTTTATAAGGAAAAGTAAGCTTGTGGTTGGTAATATAGGTGACCAAATTGCTCATTTATTTAGTTTCTTTATAACCTCTCAGGTGGTGGTCCTCAACATCAAACCAGTTCCTGCCATTGCTCCAAAGAGATCTGCCAGAGATGTGTCCCTCATCATCAACAATGCTGGCCGCAAGAACCTGTGGAGTAGGAGGGAGAGCTCCATGGTGGCTTGGGAAACAACTCTAGAAGATGTGCAGGAAGATGGGGATGACGAAGAGGAGGATGATTATGAAGAAGAGGAAAGTTGCGATGAGAGCATGGCAGAGGAGACCATTCTGGAGGCGGGAGAAGAGGACAAGACGACGCTTGAGGACTTCAATAATGTAGGTTTTGTTCATATTCAATATGTTTATATGTTTGGTTCTTTTTCACTGACTTTCACTGACTGTGCGAAATCCTCCTTTTATAAGGAGGATGGGATCCACTTGAATAATTTGGGTTCCTGGATCCTTTCACAGCATTATAAGGTTGCGTTGAGACAATGACTTATCAATGGCCCAGCTCAGTTAATCCCTACCATTGTGTCGCTGAATTGTCATAATACTTCAGCAAATGTACATTATCCCAGGGGCGTTGGTAGACACAATGTAAGTAACCTAATTTATGTCCCTCTAACTGCCCTGAATGCCTCTGCTGATCCTACAGCTATTATATGCAGTAATCATGTGCCTATGAACCAGAGTTATATTGTTAGCGCTGAGGCGGTGTGCCCTAGTAAGAAGTCCACTGTGTGCAGCTGACCCTGCACTAACATAAATAACATGAGCATGTCTACTTCTACTAAGCTTCCCAGTAAAGCAATGAAAACAAACATCCCAGAAAAGTGCTAAAAATAGCCCATGTTAACATGTGTAGCTTAAGAAACAGGGTTCATGAAATCAATAACTTGCTAGTAACAGATGAGATTCATATTATGACTATCTCTGAAACTCACTTAGATAATACCTTTGATACATTGGTAGCAGTACATGGTTATAACATGTGGTCCTCTGTAGCTCAGCTGGTAGAGCACGGCGCTTGTAACGCCAAGGTAGTGGGTTCAATCCCCGGGACCACCCATACACAAAAATGTATGCACGCATGACTGTAAGTCGCTTTGGATAAAAGCGTCTGCTAAATGGCTTATTATTATTATTTATCTACAGTACAGAAATGCCAGTGGTGGAGGTGTTGCTGTTTTATATTCAGAACCACATTCTGGTAAAGCTTAGAGAGGATCTCATGTTAAATACTGTTGAAGTAGTATGCTACAGGTTAATCTGCCTCACCTAAAGCCCATTCTTGTGGGAAGCTGCTATAGACCACCAAGTGCTAACAGTCAGTATCTGAATAAAGTGTGTGAAATGCTTGTTAATGTATGTGATATCAACAGAGGTATTTTCTGGGTGACCTAAATATTGACTGGCTTTCATCAAGCTGCCCACCCAAGATAAAGCTTCAAACTGTAACCAGGTTCAGTCAACCTACCAGGGAAGTTACAAACAGCACAGGAATGAAGTCATCAACATGTATTGATCACATCTTTACTAATGTTGCAAAAATTTGCTTTAAAGTATCAAAATCCATCGGATGTAGTGATCACAATATAGTAGCCATATCTAGGAAAACCAAAGTTCCAAAGGCTGGGCCTAATATAGTGTATAGAGGTCATACAATACGTTTTTGTAGTGATTCATATGTTGTTGATGTAAAGAATATGTGGTGTGTAATGAGGAGCAACCAGACACTGCACTTGATACATTTTATGAAATTGCTTATTCCAGTTACTATTAAGCATGCACCCATTAAAAAAAAAGGACTGTAAAGACTGTTAAATCTCAGTGAATTGAAGAGGAATTTAAAATGTGTATGGTTGAGAGGGATAAGTCAAAAGTAATGGCAAATAAGTCTGGCTGCACAACTGATTGGCAATGTACTGCAAATTGAGAAATCGTGACTAAACGGAATAGAAATTTGACAAATGATTCTATGAAACAAAGATGAATTATACACTGCTCAAAAAAATAAAGGGAACACTTAAACAACACAATGTAACTCCAAGTCAATCACACTTCTGTGAAATCAAACTGTCCACTTAGGAAGCAACACTGATTGACAATAAATGTCACATGCTGTTGTGCAAATGGAATAGACAACAGGTGGAAATTATAGGCAATTAGCAAGACATCCCCAATAAAGAAGTGGTTCTGCAGGTGGTGACCACAGACCACTTCTCAGTTCCTATGCTTCCTGGGTGGTGTTTTGGTCACTTTTGAATGCTGGCGGTGCTTTCACTCTAGTGGTAGCATGAGACGGAGTCTACAACCCACACAAGTGGCTCAGGTAGTGCAGCTCATCCAGGATGGCACATCAATGCGAGCTGTGGCAAGAAGGTTTGCTGTGTCTGTCCAGCGTAGTGTCCAGAGCATGGAGGCGCTACCAGGAGACAGGCCAGTACATCAGGAGACGTGGAGGAGGCCGTAGGAGGGCAACAACCCAGCAGCAGGACCGCTACCTCTGCCTTTGTGCAAGGAGGAGCAGGAGGAGCACTGCCAGAGCCCTGCAAAATGACCTCCAGCAGGCCACAAATGTGCATGTGTCTGCTCAAACGGTCAGAAACAGACTCCATGAGGGTGGTATGAGGACCCGACGTCCACAGGTGGGGGTTGTGTTTACAGCCCAACACCGTGCAGGACGTTTGGCATTTGCCAGAGAACACCAAGATTGGCAAATTCGCCACTGGCGCCCTGTGCTCTTCACAGATGAAAGCAGGTTCACACTGAGCACATGTGACAGTCTGGAGACTCTGTGGAGAACGTTCTGCTGCCTGCAACATCCTCCAGCATGACCGGTTTGGCGGTGGGTCAGTCATAGTGTGGGGTGGCATTTCTTTGGGGGGCCGCACAGCCCTCCATGTGCTCGCCAGAGGTAGCCTGACTGCCATTAGGTACTGAGATGAGATCCTCAGACCCCTTGTGAGACCATATGCTGGTGCGGTTGGCCCTGGGTTCCTCCTAATGCAAGACAATGCTAGACCTCATGTGGCTGGAGTGTGTCAGCAGTTCCTGCAAGAGGAAGGCATTGATGCTATGGACTGGCCCGCCCGTTCCCCAGACCTGAATCCAATTGAGCACATCTGGGACATCATGTCTCGCTCCATCCACCAATGCCACGTTGCACCACAGACTGTCCAGGAGTTGGCGGATGCTTTAGTCCAGGTCTGGGAGGAGATCCCTCAGGAGGCCATCCGCCACCTCATCAGGAGCATGCCCAGGCATTGTAGGGAGGTCATACAGGCACGTGGAGGCCACACACACTACTGAGCCTAATTTTGACTTGTTTTAAGGACATTACATCAAAGTTGGATCAGCCTGTAGTGTGGTTTTCCACTTTAATTTTGAGGGTGACTCCAAATCCAGACCTCCATGGGTTGATCAATTTGATTTCCATTGATAATTTTTGTGTGATTTTGTTGTCAGCACATTCAACTATGTAAAGAAAAAAGTATTTAATAAGATTATTTCATTCATTCAGATCTAGGATGTGTTGTTTTAAGTGTTCCATTTATTTTTTTGAGCAGTGTAGTATATAAAAAAAAAGCTTTGGAGCACCTTAAATTAAATGTAGGGCAAAAAGGCAAACTCAGCGCCATCATTCATTGAATCAGATGGCTGATTCATCACAAAACCCACTGATATTGCCAATTACTTTAATGATATTTTCATTGGCAAGATTAGCAAACTTAGGCATGACATGCCAGTAACAAACGCTGACACCACATCCAAGTAGAACTGATCAAATTATGGAAGACAAGCATTGTCATTTTGAATTCCGTAAAGTGAGTGTGGAAGAGGTGAAAAGTATTGTTGTCAACAATGACAAGCCACCGGGGTCTGACAACTTGGAAGGAAAATTACTGAAGATAATAGCGGGCGATTATTGCCCCTCCTATTTGCCATATCTTCAATCTAAGCCTACTAGAAAGTGTGTGCCCTCAGGCCTGGAGGGAAGCAAAAGTCATTGCACTACCTAAGAATAGTAAAGCCCCCTTTACTGGCTCAAATAGCTGACCAATCAGCCTGTTACCAACCCTTAATAAACTTTTGGAGAAAATTGTGTTTGACCAGATTCAATGCTATTTTACTGTAAACAAATTGACAACAGACTTTCAGCACGCTTGTCCTAGAGAAGGACATTCAACATGCACAGCACTTACACAAATGACTGATTGGCTGAGAGAAATTGATACAAATATTGTGGGAGCTGTTTTGTTAGACTTCAGTGCTGCTTTTGACATTATCGATCATAGTCAGCTGCTAAAAAAACGTATGTGTTATGGCTTTACATCCCCCTGCTATATTGTTGATAAAGAGTTGCCTGTGTTCTTTAATGGAAGCCTCTCCAACATAATTCAGATAGAATCAGGAATTCCCCAGGGCAGTTGTATAGGCCCCTTTACTTTTTTCAATCTTTACTAAGCCAGTGTGTCTATGTATGCGGATGACTCAACACTATACACGTCAGCTACTACAGCGAGTGGAGTCACTGCAACACTTAACGAAGAGCTGCAGTTAGTTTCAGAATGGGTGGCAAGGAATAAGTTAGTCCTAAATATTTCAAAAACTAAAAGCATTGTATTTGGGACAAATCATTCACTAAACCCTAAATCTTGTAATAAATAATGTGGAAATTGAGCAAGTTGAGGTGACTAAACTGCCTGGATTGTAATCTGTCGTGGTCAAAACATGTTGATACAACAGTAGCTAAGATGGGGGAGAAGTCTGTCCATAATAAAGCGCTGCACTGCCTTTCTAACAACACTATCAACAAGGCAGGTCCTACATTACCTAATCTTGTCACACCTGGACTACTGTTCAGTCATGTGGTCTTCACAAACCCCAAGTCAAAAACAGACTATGGGAGGCGGACAGTACTACGTAGAGCCATGGCTACATGAAACTCTATTCCACATCAGGTAACTGATGCAAGCAGTATAATCAGATTAATATAAAAGCTACAAATACACCTTATGGAACAGCGGGGACTGTGAAGAGACACACACAGGCACAGACACACGTATATACATACACATTAGACACACACACTACATGCATGTACACATGGATTTTGTATTGTAAATATGTGGTAGTAGAGTAGTGGCCTGAGGGAACACACTTAATATGTTGTGAAAAGTGTTATGAAATGCAATTGTCATGTAATATCTTAAATTGTGTATATAACTGCCTTAATGTTGCTGGACCACAGGAAGAGTAGCTGCTGCCTTGTGTATTTTAGGGCCAGTTTGCTCTGGTGGAGGAACTGAGGGAGAAGCTTCTGAAGGAGGAAGCTGAGAAATTGGCTTTGGAGTCTCATATCCGTGAAGAGGTCACCATTGAGTTCATGGAGCTATTCTCCAAAATGGAAAGTGATTACAAGTAAGTCGTCTATTTCGCTCTTTTTAAAAGATCTGTCAATCTTGGCCATTGTCTGTAGATGCATTGACTGAACAATGCTTCTGTCATGCAGTGAGCGTCTTGCCAAAGAGAGGGAGATCATCGAGGACAGAGCGGAGAAGAGGTTGGAGATCCTGAAGAATTTAGTCAGCAAAAGTGTCAGCGAGTGTGCAAGTGTCACCGGTGACGAGGAAATGACAAAGGTAACAGTCTTATTCAGATCACAGGTCATAATATCAGATCATGCAGAAAATACAACTTCACCACTAATATCTTTACCTGTCCTTGTTTAATGAGTTGAGTTCTGATATCTTTGTTTTCCATCACAGGAGGATAAGGTAGAGCTCTTGGATGGGATCATTGAAGCTATGCGAGACGACCTGGCTAGAATCAGGAGGGATACGGAGACTGCACAGACCTGTCTGGTGGACCTGCCTGAGTCTCCTGGCACTGTAGCCAGCCTGAGGAAGCAAGTGGACGACTTATCAGAGGAGCTCCTCAAGACCCAGCAGCAACTCAAACTCAAAACCAATGGTGTGTGTATAGTATGTCTGAACTACTGTGATTTGGCCATGTCTGCTAAATATTCAGGATTTAGCTTAAAGGGATACTTCGGGATTTTAGCAATGAGGCCCTTTATCTACTTCCCCAGAGTCAGATGAACTTGTGGATTCCATTTTTATGTCTCTGTGTCCAGTATGAAGGAAGTTAGGTAGTTTTGCGAGCCAATGCTAACTAGCGTTAGTGCAATGACTGGAAGTCTATGGGTATCTGCTAGCATGCTTCCTTCATACTGGACAGAGACATACTTTTTTTAAATCCACGAGTTCATCTGCATCTGGAGAAGTACAGTACATTCGGGAAAGTATTCAGACTCCTTGACTTTGTCCACATTTTGTTACGTTACAGCCTTATTCTACAATGGATTAAATAAAACATTTTCCTCAGCAATCTACACACAATACCCCGTAATGATGATATGAAAGCAGGTTGTTCGAAATTTTTGCACTTATTAAAATAAAAACAGAAATACCATATTTCCATAAGTATTCAGACCCTTTGCTATGAGACCCAACATTTTGCTCCGGTGCATCCTGTTTCCATTCATCATCCTGGAGATGTTTCTACAACTTGATTGGAGTCCACCTGTGGTAAAATCTCTATTGATTGGACATGATTTGGAAAGGCACACACCTGTCTATATAAGGTCCCACAGTTGACAGTGCATGTCAGAGCAAAAACTAAGACATGAGGTCGAAGGAATTGTCCTTAGAGCTCCGAGACAGGATTGTGTTGAGGCACAGATCTGGGGAAGGGTACCAAAAAATGTCTGCAGCATTGAAGGTCCACAAGAACACAGTGGCCTCCATCATTCTTAAATGTAAGAAGTTTGGACCCACCAAGACTCTTCCTAGAGCTGGCCGCCCGGCCAAACTGAGCAATCAGGGGAGAAGGGCTTTGGCCAGGGAGGTGACCAAGAACCCGATGGTCACTCTGACAGACTTCTAGAGTTCCTCTGTGGAGATGGGAGAACCTTCCAGAAGGACAACCATCTCTGCAGCACTCCACCAATCAGGCCTTATTGGTAGTGGCCAGACGGAAGCCACTCCTCAGTAAACGGCACATGACAGCCCGCTTGGAGTTTGCCAAAAGGCACCTAAAGACTCTCAGACCATGAGAAACAAGATTCTCTAGTCTGATGAAACCAAGATTGAACTATTTGGCCTGAATGCCAAGCGTCACGTCTGGAGGAAACCTGGCACCATCCCTACAGTGAAGCATGGTGGTGGCAGCATCATGCTGTGGGTGTGTTTTTCAGCAGCAGGGACTGGGAGACTAGTCAGGATCAATGCAAAGATGAACAGAGCAAAGTACAGCGAGATCCTTAATGAAAACCTGCTCCAGAGCGCTTAGGACCTCAGACTGGGGCGAAGGTTCACCTTCCAACAGGAAAACGACCCTAAGCACACAGCCAAGACAACGCAGGAGTGGCTTCGGGACAAGTCTCTGAATGTCCTTGAGTGGCCCAGCCAGAGCCCGGACTTTAACCCGATCGAACATCTCTGGAGAGACCTGAAAATAGCTGTGCAGCAACGCTCCCCATCCAACCTGACAGAGCTTGAGAGGATCTGCAGAGATGAATGAGAAACTCTCCAAATACAGGTGTGCCAAGCTTGTAGCGTCATACCTAAGAAGACTTACATGCTGTAACAAAGGTGCTTCAACAAAGTACTGAGGAAAATAATATGTATGTAAATGTAATATTTCCGTTTTTTATTTTGCTAACATTTCTAAAAAACCTTTTTGCTTTGTCATAATGGGGTATTGTGTGTAGATTGATAAGAAAAACATTTTAATCAATTTTAGATTGAGGTTGTAACGTAACAAAATGTGGAAAAGTCAAGGTGTCTGAATACTTTCCGAATGCAGTGTAGATAAAGGGCCTTATTGCCAAAATTCCCAAGCATCCCTTTAAGTGTGTTTTCTCTCGGTTTACAGAAATGGAAGTAATGAGCATGGAATTGAAACAATTGTTTGGGCAGCTAGAGGATGCGAAGGAGGTAAGCCTGGCTTGATATTGATATCTGATGTGTTTTGTTGCATGTGAACACTGAATCAAAGTTTGTGTTAGAGTTGATGGTTCTCCATATTTTGGTTTTATGCAGAATTTGGAATCTCAGACACGGAAGTTTGAGGCCTTAATGGAAATCTGCCATGAGAAAGATGATGTGATAACCAAGCTGCAGGAAGCAATGGACCAGAATAGTGAGGCTGCAACTAGGGATGTAAGTAAATTACTTGCTTGAACTAATGATTTCATACTTGCACCTGCATTAATTGCGCATATGGGGGCGCTTTGTAATCTGTCCAAGTGTATTTAGTATTAATCATCACATAACCTCTATGATAATATGCATTCCCTTTCACTGTTTTTGTCAACAGAAGGCCTTGGTTGACTCAATCAAGGAGGAGATTCTGAGCTTGAAACAGAATTGTAAGTGTATGAGCCGGGACAGTCCCAGTGCTGAGGAGGGCAGGAACCGCCATGCTGATGTCCTGGAAGACCTTGATGATCAGCCTGCCCTGAAGAAAGGTAGTCATAAAAAAAAGATGAAAGGAGTTACATCTTGTATCGGGGATATTGGTCCTTATGTTTCCATTTACTTTTAGAGTTCTGTGTCTGTCTGACCAGCTCCTCTCTCTCCAGGGAGTCTTGAGGATGAGCGTATCATTCGAGCAGATGAGTTGGAGAAACTCCAGGCTGAATGTCATCAAAAAGACTTGACGATTTTGCAGTTAAAAGAAGAACACGAGGCGATGGTTCAGAAGTTGGAGACGGTCAAAGGAGAGATAAAAAGAAAGAACGAAAATGCCGACGAGCTCAAACGCGAGAGGGTTTCGTTCGAACAGACTGTACAGAAGCTCACCGATGATTTGGAGGAGCAGACAGATGACTGTGAAGCTGTGATGGCCTCGCTGGAAAAAGAGAGGAAGGAGACAGCCATGCTCTCCAAAGACAACAAAGCACTGGTCAGTGGCATCTTCCAGCTCCAGCAGACATCACAGAAAGTGGAGTCTTCTGTGAAAACTCTCCAAACAGAACTTATCGAACAGACTGAGAGGTCCGCCAAGCTTTTAGAGGAGCTAGAAGCAGCCAGAGTACTCCTGAAGGGGCTCGAAGACGAATCCAACGAAAAATCCAAAACCATTGAATCCTTAACTTTGGAAACTGAACGACTCCGGAAGGAAGCGGAGGAACTGAAGGTCTCTTCTGTGCAGAGCAACAACTCCAAGTTCCATGACACCATAGATGCAATGAAAAGGGAGTGTGAGTGCGTGGTGGAGAAGTTGCTCCAGAAGAGCCAGTGGATAGATGTCCTGGAGCAGGAGCTCAACCAGGTCAAAGAGCAGCTCTCTGGACGGGAGGAACTCTGCAGCCAGCTGAGACATGAGTTAGAGACACAGCGGTCAGAGGCCCAATTCAACCTACAGGGCTATGAATTAGAGAAAGGGGCTTACAATGAAATTACGAAGAGTTACTCTGACCTTGAAAAAATGGCAGGTCACCTGAAGGAGCAAATCGTGGACCTGGAGGTTCAGGTGCAGGCCTCTGGAGGCAGCTCTGAGAGGGTTGTGGAGTTGGAGAAGCAACTGGCTGAGAGGGAGGCCCAGTGCGAAGCTCTGCAAGCAAGATTAGAGGAGGCTCAACAGAAACTGGCCCAGGTGGAGGAAAGTCATAGCAATAAGTCCAAGGAGAAGGTGATTGAAGACATGCGTCTTGCTCTGACAGAGCAGGAGAGGACACAAACAGAACAAGATCAGATTCTGGAGGCTAAGGAAAAAGAGATTGAGGCTTTAAGTGAAGGTGAGTGGTCACACGCTTAAATCAGTTTTGTTTTTTTAAGCAAGTCTTCATTCAGATTTTTTGGGGGAATTGGCACTGTCTCAATTTTGGATTTCAGAGCTGACGAGTTTGAAGGACTGCTGCCTACCAAAAAACATGAACAGTGCAAAGTTCTCTCATGTCCTCAACAACTGTCCTGGCGAGAATGTGAAGCAGGAATGTCAGCGGACTGAAGAGAGCTTGAAGGTAAGAGCTGCCGTTTGATCAAAGATGCTCACATTCATTCTCAACGTCCCTCTGAAACTCTAGCAATTTAAGGTTCTGTTTGAGACGGGACGGTGTACGCACGTGTGGTGAGGGAAGTAATCATTCCTTTTGATGTCCTCCTAGCTGGTTAATGAGCAGCATGAGATGGAGAAGCAGAAGTGGCTTGAAGAGAGGGCCATTCTGATGGAGAGACCCAAAGGGCCAGAGCAGGAGGAGAGTCGGTGCCCGGCTCCAGAGTTGATGAGGGAGTGTTCAGAGGAGCTCTGCCGTAGCACGCTGCAGACTGTAGAGGTAATACTGACTCTGATTTAATAAACACATTAGAACTGCTGGGCTTAATGGCGTCTCTGAATGAGAGGAAGTAATTAATGGAGTTTCAAAGTGCGTAGGTAGTGAGTGTGCAGCAGGAAGTTGATGAATGACGTTCAGAATAGGGTTTCTGTGACCTAATCCCTAATTTCTGCTTAATTTAGTGGGATATTGCTAACTTTTTACCTCTCGTTTTATCTCTGAGGAGCACATAATTTCTAATAGCATTAACTCTGTGTATATCAATGATGTCGTTCTTGCTGCTGGTGACGCTCGGATCCACCTCTATGCGGACGACACCATTTTGTATACATCTGGCCCTTCATTGGATTGAACACTGTGTTAACAAACCTCCAAACGAGCTTCAACGCCATACAACACTCCTTCCGTAGCCTCCAACTGCTCTTAAACACTAGTAAAATTAAATGCATGCTCTTCAACCGAACGCTGCTTGCACCCGACTAGACTAGAATCACTACTCTCAGCGGGTCTGACCTAGAGTATGTGGACAACTACAAATACCTAGGTGTCTGGTTAGACTGTAAACTCTCCTTCCAGACTCACATTAAGCATCTCCAATCAAAAGTTAGATCTAGAATCGGCTTCCTATTTCGCAACAAAGTCTCCTTCACTCATGCTGCCAAACATGCCCTCGTAAAACTGACTATCCTACCGATCCTTGACTTGGGCGATGTCATTTACAAAATAGCCTCCAACACTCTACTCAGCAAATTGGATGTAGTCTATCACTGTGCCATCCGTTTTGTCTCCAAAGCCCCATATAATACCCACCACTGTGACCTGTACGCTCTTGTTGGCTGGTCCTCACTACATATTTGTCGCCAAACCCACTGGCTCCAGGCCATCTATAAATCACTGCTAGGCAAATCCCCGCCTTATCTTAGCTCATTGGTCACCATAGCAACACCCACCCGTAGTCTGCGCTCCAGCAGGTATATCTCACTGGTCATCCCCAAAGCCAACACCTCCTTTGGCCGCAATTCCTTCCAGTTCTCTGCTGCCAATGACTGGAACAAATTGCAAAAATCTCTGAAGCTGGAGACTCTTACCTCCCTCACTAACTTTAAGCATCAGTTGTCAGAGCACCTTACCGATCACTGCACCTGTACACAGCCCATCTGAAATTAGCCCGCCCAACTACCTCATCCCTATATTGTTATTTATTTTGCTCATTTGTACCCCAGTATCTCTATTTGCACATCATCTCTTGCACATCTATCATTCCAGTGTTAATACTAATTGTAATTATTTTGCACTATAGCCTATTTATTGCCTTACCTCCATAACTTGCTACATTTGCACACACTGTATATATATATGTATTTCTGTTGTATTTCTGTAGTATTTTTGACTTTGTTTTGTTTTACCCCATATGTAACTCTGTTGTTGTTTTTATCGCACTGCTTTGCTTTATCTTGGCCAGGTCGCAGTTGTAAATGAGAACTTGTTCTCAACTGGTTTACCTGGTTAAATAAAGGTGAAATAAAAAAAATAAAAAAATAATTCGGCGATGTCATTTACAAAATAGCCTCAAACTCTACTCAGCAAATTGGATGTAGTCTATCACAGTGCCATCCGTTTTGTCACCAAAGCCCCATATACTACCCACCATTGTGACCTGTACGCTCTCGTTGGCTGGCCCTCACTACATATTCGTCGCCAAACCCACTGGCTCCAGGCCATCTATAAATCACTGCTAGGCAAATCCCCGTCTTATCTTAGCTCACTGGTCACCATAGCAACACTCACCCGTAGTCTGCGCTCCAGCAGGTATATCTCACTGGTCATCCCCAAAGCCAACACCTCCTTTGGCCGCAATTCCTTCCAGTTCTCTGCTGCCAATGACTGGAACAAATTGCAAAAATCTCTGAAGCTGGAGACACTTATCTCCCTCACTAACTTTAAGCATCAGTTGTCAGAGCAGCTTACTGATCACTGCACCTGTACACAGCCATTCTGAAATTAGCCCACCCAACTACCTCATCCCCATATTGTTGTTTATGTTGCACCCCAGTATCTCTATTTGCACATCATCTTTTGCACATCTATCATTCCAGTGTTAATACGAAATTGTAACTATTTTGCACTAGGGCCTATTTATTGCCTTACCTCCATAACTTGCTACATTCGCACACACTGTATATATATTTTCTGTTGTATTTTTGACTTTATGTTTTGTTTACCCCATATGTAACTCTGTTGTTGTTTTTATCGCACTGCTTTGCTTTATCTTGGCCAGGTCGCAGTTGTAAATGAGAACTTGTTCTCAACTGGCTTACCTGGTTAAATAAAGGTTACAAAAAAAACTTGATCCATATATCTGATGTATTGAAGAGAAGTTACCAGCCTATATATTATCACTTCTTTCCAACTAAATGATATGTATGTACAGTTGAAGTCGGAAGTTTACATACACTTAGGTTGGAGTCATTAACTCGTTTTTTAACCACTCCACAAATGTATTGTTAACAAACTATACTTTTGGCAAGTCGGTTAGGACATCTACTTTGCATGACACAAGTCATTTTCCAACAAGTGTTTATAATTCACTGTATCACAATTCCAGTGGGTCAGAAGTTTAGATACACTAAGTTGACTGTGCCTTTAAACAGCTTGGAAAATTCCAGAAAATGTTATGGCTTTAGAAGCTTTTAATAGGCTAATTGACATCATTTGAGTCAATTGGAGGTGTACCTGTGGATGTATTTCAAGGCCTACCTTCAAACTGTGCCTCTTTGCTTGACATCGTGGGAAAATCAAAATAAATCAGCCAAAAAATTGTAGACCTCCACAAGTCTGGTTCATGCTTGGAAGCAGTTTTCAAACGCCTATAGGTACCACGTTCATCTGTACAAACAATAGTATGCAAGTATAAACACCATGGGACCATGCAGCCGTCATACCGCTCAGGAAGGAGACGTGTTCTGTCTCCTAGAGATGAACGTACTTTGGTGCGAGAAGTACAAATCAATCCCAGAACAACAGCAAAGGACCTTGTGAAGATGCTGGAGGAAACAGGTAAAAAGTGTCTATATCCACAGTAAAACGAGTCCTATATCGATATAACCTGAAAGGCCGCTCAGCAAGGAAGAAGCCACTGCTCCAAAACCGCCATAAAAAAGCCAGACTACAGTTTGCAACTGCACATGGGGACAAAGATCGTACTTTTTGGAGAAATGCCCTCTGGTCTGATGAAACAAAAATAGAACTGTTTGGCCACAATGACCATCGTCAGGGGGTAGCTTGCAAGCCGAAGAAAACCATCCCAACCGTGAAGCACGGGGGTGGCAGCATCATGCTGTGGGGGTGCTTTGCTGCAGGAGGGACTGGTGCACTTCACAAAATAGATGGCATCATGAGGAAGGAAAATTATGTGGATATATTGAAGCAACATCTCAAGACATCAGTCAGGAAGTTAAAGCTTGGTCGCAAATGGGTCTTCCAAATGGACAATGACCCCAAGCATACTTCCAACGTTGTGGCAAAATTGCTTAAGGACAACAAAGTCAAGGTATTGGAGTGGCCATCACAAAGCCCTGACCTCAATCCTATAGAAAATTTGTGGGCAGAACTGAAAAAGCGTGTGCGAGCAAGGAGGCCTACAAACCTGACTCCGTTACACCAGCTCTGTCAGGAGGAATGGGCCAAAATTCACCCAACTTATTGTGGGAAGCTTGTGGAAGGCTACCTGAAACGTTTGACCCAAGTTAAACAATGTAAAGGCAAGGCTACCAAATATTAATTGAGTGTATGTAAACTTCTGACCCACTGGGAATGTGATGAAAGAAATAAAAGCTGAAATAAATCATTCTCTCTGCTATTATTCTGACATTTCACATTCTTAAAATAAAGTGGTGATCCTAACTGATCTAAGACAGGGAATTTTTACTAGGATTAAATGTCAGGAATTGTGAAAAACTGAGTTTAAATGTATTTGGCTAAGGTGTATGTAAACTTCCGACTTCAACTGTAGTTGCAGGGAAAGCGGGTGCACTTCACACAGCAATTGACAGTATTTCTCACCGTAAGGATTGTCTGCCTTTTATGCTAATGTCTGTTTTCCAGGCGCAATTGTCAAAACAGCCCTCAGAGAAAGAAGAGGAGAGTGGCTCTGTTGTTGAGGACCTCAAATTAAAGATACAGAATCTCCAGGAGAGAAACGCAAAGAAAGAGCGCAAGCTCAGGGAGCTCCACGACCACTCCAATTTCCAAACACAAGAGGTCAGTATAGATCAGATAATCATTTATACTGAACAAAAATATAAACGCAGCAATTTAAACGATTTTACTGATTTTACAGTTCATGTAAGGAAATCAGTAAATTGAAATAAATTCATTAGGCCCTACTCAATGGATTTCACATGACTGGGCAGGGGCGCAGCCATGGGTGGGTCTGGCTCCCCAGTGGGTGGGCCTATGCCCACCCATGGCTGTGCCCCTGCCCAGCCAATCAGAATGAGTTTTTTTTTCCACAAAAGGGCTTGATTACAGACAGAAATGCTCCTCAGTTTCATCAGCTGTCCTGGTGGCTGGTCTCAGATGGTCCCGCAGGTGAAGAAGCCAGATGTGGAGGTCTTGGGCTGGTGTGGTTACACGTGGTCTGCGGTTGTGAGGCCGGTTGGTCGTACTGCCAAATTCTCTAAAACGACGTTTGAGGCGACTTATGTAGAGAAATGAACATTCAATTCTCTGGCAACAGCTCTGGTGTACATTCCTACAGTCAGCATGCCAAATGCACGCTCCCTCAACTTGAATTATCTTGGCAAAGGATAAATGCTCACTAACAGGGATGTAAATACATTTGTGCACAAAATCTGAGAGAAATAGGTGTATGGAAAATTTTTAAGATCTTTTATTTCAGCTCATGAAACATGGGACCAAAACTTAACATGTTGCGTTTATATTTTTGTTCTGTATAGCTGCTTCTTATGTTTGACTATTCTTGTCATTTTTTTGCGATTTCAGCCACAAAATCAGGGATGGATTCATTTCAACAGGGGTGTAAAGAAACATTCATATTTGATGAATCAGATAATAAATAGTGGTGTGTGTGTGTGTGTGTGTGTGTGTTTATGCCTGTGTGTATAATGTTGGCCTGTCTGTCTGTCTGTCTGTCTGGGCAGGTACTGGACTCCTCAGAGGTGTCCACAGATGGCAGGCAAGAGCGTCGCTTCCCCAAACCGGAGCTGGAGATCCAGTTCACCCCTCTGCACTCCAACAAGCTGAACGTCCGGAGGCAGGGAGAGAACAAGTCTGTGACCATCAAAATCCCCCGCTCAGCCAAGAAGAGGAAGAGCAACGAGATGGAGAAGGTACAGTTCAAAGTGTGTGTGTGATAGGATAACAGATATGTCCAGAAGACATTTGACTGAAAACCATAACATTTTAAATAATAATTGTTTTATTGTCACATACACCAGATAGGTGCAATTGTTGTCATGATACCAGAATTTTGACTTTGATACCGATACCAGGTTTAGTATCACAATACTGGATACCAAAACGATACCACGGGGGAAAAAGGTGTATTAGCCGAAGTCACAGAATGGCACTTCATCCAGACAGATCTTTTGAGTTCAATATCATTACATTTGCATTTAAAATGTCTGATTTTTGAATGTATGCATTAATGAATCAATTATACAATCAATTTGACTTTGTTTTTTACCAACCCAACTACATACCAACATTATGGTAATCATTTATTTGACTGGTAAAGCTCTAGTCTATTGATGAACTGGGTAAATCAAGATGAAGCGTAGGCCTGTTCACAATAGCGGTGAATGCATATTCAACAGGAGTGTGTGCATGTATTGAGTTATTGAGCTTGTTTTGACTGATTTTTCATGGGCCTACAGATGAAAAACAATATTTCCCTTCCACTTGCGACGTATTCTATTGTACTGATCAACAACAGTTGCATAGAACAAGCAATCTCTTATTTTATAAAAGTGTGCGCTCTCACTAAGACCCATGCCTTCATTCTCTCACACACACACTCAGTTTGAGGCTCGAGCGAAGATAATGACTGGGAGAGACGAAAAGCAGGCGGGGAAGATGACGTGAATTAATACAGATTTAGTGACATTCAGCTTTGAAATGAGCAATATTTTGCTTTATGGTTTGCATATTATCACAAACAAGGTACTAGGGTAGTGAATTGATGTTAGCTTCAGCTGTAAGCTAGCAAGGAAAGTTAGCCTACAACGCTGGAAGCTACCTGTATATTCTTGCATTGTGAAGTGTTCTAGCCTGTAATGGACATTTTGTTTTGCGAACCGTAATTAACATTTTCAACATTTCTACATTCCGTGTTGCATTATTCAAGTACAGTTGAAGTCGGAAGTTTACATACACTTAGGTTGGAGTCATTAAAACTAGTTTTTCAACCACTCCACACATTTCTTGTTAACAAACTATAGTTTTGGCAAGTCGGTTAGGACATCTACTTTGTGCATGACACAAGTACTTTTTCCAACAATTGTTTACAGACAGATTATTTCACTTATAATTCACTGTATCACAATTCCAGTGGGTCAGAAGTTTACATACACTAAGTTGACTGTGCCTTTAAACAGCTTGGAAAATTCCAGAAAATGATGTCATGGCTTTAGAAGCTTCTGATAGGCTAATTGACATTATTTGAGTCAATTGGAGGTGTACCCGTGGATGTATTTCAAGGCCTACCTTGAAACTCAGTGCCTATTTGCTTGACATCATGGGAAAATCAAAAGAAATCAACCAAGGCCTCAGAAAAAAATGTGTAGACCTCCACAAGTCTGGTTCATCCTTGGGAGCAATTTCCAAATGCCTGAAGGTACCATGTTCATCTGTACAAACAATAGTACACAAGTATAAACACCATGGGACCACGCAGCTGTCATACCGCTCAGGAAGGAGACGCGTTCTGTCTCCTAGAGATGAACGTACCTTGGTGCGAAAAGTGCAAATCAATCCCAGAACAACAGCAAAGGACCTTGTGAAGATGCTGGAGGAAACAGGTACAAAAGTATCTATATCCACAGTAAAACGAGTCCTATATCGATATAACTTGAAAGGCCGCTCAGCAAGGAAGAAGCCACTGCTCCAAAACCGCCATAAAGCCAGACTACGGTTTGCAACTGCACATGGGGACAAAGATCGTAGTTTTTGGAGAAATGTCCAAAAATAGAACTGTTTGGCCATAATGACCATCGTTATGTTTGGAGGAAAAAGGGGGACGCTTGCAAGCTGAAGAACACCATCCCAACCGTGAAACACGGGGGTGGCAGCATCATGCTGTGGGGGTGCTTTGCTGCAGGAGGGACTGGTGCACTTCACAAATAGATGGCATCATGAGGAAGGAAAATTGTGGATATATTGAAGCAACATCTCAAGACATCAGTCAGGAAGTTAAAGCTTGGTCGCAAATGGGTCTTCCAAATGGACAATGACCCCAAGCATACTTCCAAAGTTGTGGCAAAATGGCTTAAGGACAACAAAGTCAAGGTATTGGAGTAGCCATCACAAAGCCCTGACCTCAATCCTATAGAAGATTTGTGGGCAGAACTGAAAAAGCATGTGCGAGCAAGGAGGCCTACAAACCTAACTCCGTTACACCAGCTCTGTCATGAGGAATGGGCCAAAATTCACCCAACTTATTGTGGGAAGCTTGTGGAAAACTACCCGAAACGTTTGACCCAAGTTAAACAATTTAAAGGCAATGCTACCAAATACTAATTGAGTGTATGTAAACTTCTGACCCACTGGGAATGTGATGAAATAAATAAAAGCTGAAATAAATCATTCTCTCTGCTATTATTCTGACATTTCACATTCTTAAAATAAAGTGGTGATTCCAACTGACCTAAGACAGGGAATTTTTACGAGGATTAAATGTCAGGAATTGTGAAAAACTGAGTTTAAATGTATTTGGCTAAGGTGTATGTAAACTTCCGACTTCAACTGTATCTATTCAATCTCATTACACTTCCTCCAAAATGTAGACATGGAGAGCCAGTTCTGTGACACTGGGTTGCCTTGCATTTGATTTTGATTTTAATGCTTGTGTGAGAGATTGAGTAAGAGTTGGAGGGGTGAGAAAACATCTCAACAAACAGACCGGGTATTACCCAGCCCTTCCAGAGACCAAGCCGCAGATAGACCACTATAAACACAACGTCTGTCCTCTTTCTCTGCACTGCACTAACAAACTACCTCAAAGCAACCCTTCTCTCTGTTCAGCAGGATTATGGTCAGAGTGAACAATAATAACACCCCTACAGAAGCTGAATTGTATAGATAGTGGCTTTGAGTTGAAGTTCAGTCCACCACTCTTTTAAGAGAAGCTTTCCAAACATTCTTATTGTAGTATCTTGCTAAATCAACCCACCATATGGCTATCACTAACAGACCTATGCCAAAGGAACAAGAGCAATGTCAACAGATAAGAGGCTTATAAACAGTTGTGGGAACCTGAAACTACAGCCACAATCCCTTCAGTCCCTTCACATTTCAGACTGATGCCAGATTGAACAGTATTAAGGTCCTGGTTGCTTTTATTAGTTTTTTTGGAAAAAGTGATAACAGATTTAACCAGATCCCTTTTGAAATTAGATCCCAATTATGCTATACATATAGCAGATGAAGGGGGGCACCATTTTGACTTGATGTCCTGAAGAATTGATCCCTTTGTTGTAATACAACACAGAACGTGTGTGCGTGTGTCACTAATCCTAAAATGTTCTCTCTGTGCCTCAGGACCCTGTGGAAAGTGAGAACAAAAAGAATATAAAGTTGAGGGGGAACAACAGAGTGAACATGCAGGTGAGAAGAGAATCTAGACTTATAAACCTATTTTAATGTCACTAGTTCAGCTTATCCTGTGTATACACTACCGGTCAAAAGTTTTAGAACACCTACTCATTCAAGGATTTTTCTATTTTTACTATTTTCTACATTGTAGAATAATAGTGAAGACATCAAAACTATGAAATAACACATATGGAATCATTTAGTAACCAAAAAAAGTGTTAAACAAATCAAAATATATTTGAGATTTTTCAAATAGCGACCTTTAGCCTTGATGACAGCTTTGTACACTTTTTTGGTTACTACATGATTCCATATGTGTTATTTCATAGTTATTCTACAATGTAGAAAATAGTCAAAATGAAGAAAAAACCTTGAATGATTAGGTGTTCTAAAACTTTTGACCGGTAGTGTATATGTCATGTCAACAGTCGCCGACAGTGCTCGGTATAAAAACAGACCAGAAGAAGCAACAGACACCAGCAAGTCTGAAAGGCAAATACGATGGAACCCTCCAGAAGATTGGAGACTTCACCCAGAGTTCCCCAACTCTGCTCGGGAGTAAAGGTTAGCAAGACTTTGCTTTTCTCCTTTACTGATGTCAATGTTCTGCACACATCAGACATTCAGCATATATCTATATATCAGTCAAAAGTTTTGACACCTACTCATTCAAGGGTTTTTCTTTATTTATACTATTTTAGAATAATAGTGAAGACATCAAAACTATGAAATAACACATATGGAATCATTTAGTTACCAAAAAAGTGTTAAACAAATAAAATATATTTTATATTTGAGATTCTTCAAAGTAGCCACCCTTTGCCTTGATGACAGCTTTGCACACTCTTGGCATTATCTCAACCAGCTTCATGAGGTAGTCACCTGGAATGCATTTCAATTAACAGGTGTGCCTTGTTAAAAGTTAATTTGTGGAATTTCTTTCCTTAATGCGTTTGAGCCAATCAGTTGTGTTGTGACAAGGTAGCGGGGGGTATACAGAAGATAGTCCTATTTGGTAAAAGGCCAAGTCCATATTATGGCAAGAACCGCTCAAATAAGCAAAGAGAAACAACAGTCCATTACTTTAAGACATGAAAGTCAGTCAATACGGAACATTTTCAAGAACTTTTTAAGTTTCTTCAAGTGCAGTCGCAAAAACCATCAAGTGCTATGATGAAACTGGCTCTCATGAGGACTGCCACAGGAAAGGAAGACCCAGATTTACCTCTGCTGCAGAGGATAAATTCATTAGAGTTACCAGCCTCAGAAATTGCAGCCCAAATAAATGCTTCAGAGTACAAGTAACAGACACATCTCAACATCAACTGTTCAGAAGAGACTGTGTGAATCAGGCCTACATGGTCGAAATGCTGCAAAGAAACCACTACTAAAGAACACCAATAAGAAGACGACTTGCTTGGGCCAAGAAACACCTGCAATGGGCATTAGACCGGTGGAAATCTGTCCTTTGGTCTGATGAGTCCAAATTTGAGATTTTTTGTTCCAACCGCCGTTTCTTTGTGAGACGCAGAGTAGGTGAACGGATGATCTCTGCATGTGTGGTTCCCACCGTGAAGCATGGAGGAGGTGGTGTGGGGGTGCTTTGCTGGTGACACTGTCAGTGATTTATTTAGAATTCAAGGCACACTTAACCAGCATGGCTACCACTGCATTCTGCAGTGATACGCCATCCCTAGTTTGGGCTTAGTGGGACTATCATTTGTTTTTCAACAGGACAATGACCCAACACACTTCCAGGCTTTGTAAAGGCTATTTGACCAAGAAAGAGAGAGATGGAGTGCTGCATCAGATTACCTGGCCTCCACAATAACCAGACCTCAACCCAATTGAGATGGTTTGGGATGAGTTGGACCGCAGAGTGAAGGAAAACGGCCAACAAGTGGGAACTCCTTCGAGACTGTTGGAAAAGCATTCCAGGTGAAGCTGGTTGAGAGAATGCCAAGGGTGTGCAAAGCTGTCATCAAGGCAAAGGGTGGCTACTTTGAAGAATCTCAAAAAATATATATATTTTGATTAGTTTAACTTTTTTTTGGTTACTACATGATTCCATATGTGTTATTTCATAGTTTTGAGGTCTTCACTATTACTCTAAAATGTATAAAATAGTATAAATAACAAAAAAAACTTCAATGAGTATGTGTCCAAACTTTTTTGACTGGTACTATTGGGCTACAGCCATATTCTAAAATTGATTAAATTGTTTTTTCCCCCTCATCAATCTACAAACAACAGCCCATAATGACAAATCAAAAACAGGTTTGTAGACATTTTTGCTAATTTATTAAAAATAAAAAATGGAAATATCACATTTACATAAGTATTCAGACCCTTTCCTCAGTACTTTGTTGAAACACCATTGGCAGCGATTACAGCCTCGAGTCTTCTTGGGTATGACGCTACAAGCTTGGCACAACTGTATTTGGGGACTTTCTCCCATTCTTCTCTGCAGATCCTCTCAAGCTCTGTCAGGTTGGACGGGGAGTGTTGCTGCACAGCTATTTTCAGGTCTCTCCAGAGATGTTCGATTGGGTTAAAGTCCGGGCTCTGGCTGGGCCACTCAAGGACATTCAGAGACTTGTCCCGAAGCCACTCCTGCATTGTCTTGGCTGTGTGCTTAGGGTCGTTGTCCTGTTGGAAGGTGAACCGTCACCCCAGTCTGAGGTCCTGACCGCTATGGAGCAGGTTTTCATCAAGGATCTCTCTGTACTTTGCTCTGTTAATCTTTTCCTTGATCCTGACTGGTCTCCCAGTCCCTGCCGCTGAAAAACATCCCCACGGCATGATGCTGCCACCACCATGCTTCACCGGATGGTGCCAGGTTTCCTCCAGACGTGACGCTTAGCATTCAGGCCAAAGAGTTCGATCTTGGTTTCGTCAGACCAGAGAATCTTTTTTCTCATCGTCTTAGTCTTTAGGTGCCTTTTGGCAAACTCCAAGCGGGCTGTCATGCGCCTTTTACTGGGGAGTGGCGTCCGTCTGGCCACTCTACCATAAAGGCTTGATTGGTGGAGTGCTGCAGAGATGGTTGTCTTTCTGGAAGGTTCTAACATCTCTACAGAGGAACTCTAGAGCTCTGTCAGAGTGATCGGGTTCTTGTTCACCTCCCTTACCAAGGCCCTTCTCCCCCGATTGCTCAGTTTGGCCAGGCGGCCAGCTCTAGGAAGAGTCTTGGTGGTTCCAAACTTCTTCCATTTAAGAATAATGGAGGCCACTGTGTTCTTGGGGACCTTCGACCTCTGCTTGGTTTTTGCTCTGACATGCACTGTCAACTGTGGGACCTTATATAGACAGGTGTGTGCCTTTCCAAATCATGTCCAATTAATTGAATTGACCACAGGTGGACTCCAATCAAGTTGTAGAAACATCTCAAGGATGATCAATGGAAACAGGATGCACCTGAGCTCAATTTCTATTCTCATAGCAAATGGTCTGAACACTTATGTAAATAAGGTTTATTTATAGTAATTTTTTTTATTTGCTAAAACTTCTAAAAACCTGTTTTCGCTTTGTCATTATGGGGTATTGTGTGTAGATTGCTGAGGATAAAAAAAAAAATATATATATATATATATCAATTTTTAGAATAAGGCTGTAACGTAACAAAGTGGAAAAAGTCAAGGGGTCTGAATACTTTCCGAAGGCTCTCTCTGTGTGTGTGTGTGTGTGTGTGTGTGTGTATATAACTACATGTCTGTCCATAGCTAAGACAATTCTGGGGATTGTAAGTGGAAGATCTACCGAGCGAGAGAAAGCCAAAGCAGTGAAACCGAAGAAGACCAAGAGGAAACTCTACAAGACAGACATCTCCTCTCCTCTGGACATCCCATCTCATCCGGTGAGTGGCAACTGGGTGGAACTTGGCCTCAGAAGCCCAGGCTTCTTATGTTCTGTTCGAAAGCCTTGGAAAGTTCTCCTCGGGAAGACGATTTTAAAAAGGGTAGAGTATGCTTCCCTGCAAAGGCAAAACGCGGTAACTGTGCCAACGGTGAAACTGAGAAAATTGGCTTTAAAGTTTTTTTGCTAGCCAGCCAAATATGTTGTAGGTAGACAAGTGATAATACATCAGTGGATTATCACTTATCTTATTATGAAGTCATTTTTATGCAAATCAACCATGACCACTGATTTAACCTATGACCCCTAAAATGCAGATGCTGCACTGTGCCTTTGTATGACCTTAAACAAAGGCAAAGCGCAGTATCAACAATCTCTAAATGTGTTTATCCAACTTTAGTGTTATTTTTTTGTTTGATGGAAACTGTTTGAGAGTTCTAACTACATTCCAACTGCATTTAATGGTTTTATGTAGTTATGTCTTCATGTTTTGAATGTTGTAGTAGCCCTCAAGCATTTTTTCGCCATAAGGTAAGGACTATTTTATCACGCAGAATGTTTGTACTGCACAGTCAAATATTTTTTAAAGTATAATCTAAATGTGTTTATCCATCTTTCTTGTTGTATTTCTGTTTGACTTGTATGGTCATTTATTTGACTTAGTGGTCATGGTTGATATGCATAAAAAATGACTTCATAATAAGATAATACATCAGTGTATAATCACTTGTCTACCTACAACATATTTGTCTGGAAAGCAAATAAACTTTAAAGCCATTTTTCTTTGCCTTTGTATGGCAGAGCTGGTAACTGCAGTCAAAACATGGTGGACCAAAGCCAAGGTGTTTGCCTTGGTTTTTACTTGTATTTTGTAGTTACTGCAAATTTCACACTAAATAATGCTATATGGAAAAACAAGGAAATTCCTCTCCTGGGGTGAAATGTAATTTCTACTTAGAGCTTGGTGGGACTTGGATGGTTTGCTTTAGAAAATAACAATACAAAAAGAGACTGAGATTGTGTAAATTTTTTATCTATTTAGGTGGTACTAACAAACCACTGGTGCAAGCTAATATTGCATTGTTTTGTTATGTTGCAGATCATTGGTCTTGATCAAGATGAGAAAGAAAGCGACCATCTCATTATCAAGAGGCAGCTTAGATCAAGAACCGCAAGGAAATGACTCCAAACTTAGTCAACAGTGGCCGAGAGTTGGTATTGCTTACTTGATTTAAACTATTTTGTGTTAGAAAACTAGCCATGTACATATGTGAATATTTTCATATTTTGTTTCTCATTCTATTCCATTATGTTTGAAAAACTTTCTCAGAGATTCTTTTTTAAATTGAAAATAGTGTACACACTATAGAGAACTTGGAAAGTACCAAACAGTTTTGTAAATGTACATTGGAGACGCAGCCCGTGTTTGGAGAGCAAGGGACACATTGTAGACAAGGGACACATTGGAGGATAGAGTATTGTTTTGTCCTGCTCGAATGTGGCCAAAAGTGTATAATGTCATAAATTTTAATGGCAGCTGTCAGGGGTGGTTGTCATCTGAGTAGAGTAAATAATCTAATCTCTCACCCCCTCTCTCTGTGGTGGGCCCCTGACAGGTCCCACTCACAGCCAGTCGGGTTCAGTCTCAGGTGGGCAATTAATGGGACATTCGCCAGTGTTTAGCTACGTCATTGGCGTTGTCATTGAAAACATGTCTCTGATGATTAAATGCTTTTTGTTCTCTGCAATGCCTGGCTGTTTTTTGTAAACAATAGAAAATGCATTAATGAGAATTCATAAGAGCCTACAGTATACATAGATGTGATTTGTCTCAAGAAAACCTTGGCTTTTGCATTGCAAAACTGCCTATTTAATGGCATTTAGTTGTTCAGAGTTAATGCATTACCTCTGGTGTACCTCCCATTTGATGGTTCTTGTGCATGCTGTGGAAAGTGGTCACCTTTTTAATTGAAGTAGGGTTAGAGGCCACATTAAGAGAAAATGGGGGGCAAGATGGTGCCGATAGACATGTCCTCTCTGTTTCTGTCTCTTAAGCAACTTTGCAGTATTTTGTTTTTTTGTGTATTATTTCTCACATATTACTGCACTGTTGGAGCTAGGAACACAAGCATTCTGCTACACCCGCAATAATATCAGCTAAATATGTGTATGCGACCAATAAGATTTGATTGGACCATCTGTTTAGCAGGGTATCAAGAGACCATTGATTTATGTTGTTTACTCCCATCAGCACTTTTTAAAAACCGTTAGATAGCAATCTGTCTCAGGACCACGTGGAGAGAGATCAAGAAGAACATCCAGTTGAGGGGGAACAGAGTGCAGGTGAACAGAGAATATGGAATCTACACTCAACTATATTGCTATGCTACAAATTGATGCATCTCATCTGAACTGCACTTGTTAAACTTCTACTGTATCTTGTCCCATGTCATCAGCCCCCTACAGTTGTCAATGTAAAAGCAGACCACAAAGAAGCAACAGACCCCACTAAGTCTGATAGGCGAAAAGGATGTGACCCTTAAGAAGACAGTCTTCCTTCGGTGTTCCCTAACTCTGCTCAGCAGTAAACGTGAGCAAGGCCATTTGGATAACAACAATACTCCCCAAATGACACTAAGTATATTACAACTACCCTAATCAATTGGCATTATCCTCCCTAAACTCTGAGGCAATGGTTAATACAGGGATTAGTTGGCCTTTCTGTTTGTCTCTGAGTGATTGATTGACAGCTCAGCTCTGACATGGCTGTTCATCAGGCTCCTCTCTGTGCATCTGAGTGCAGAGCAGAGTGACGACCACAGCAACACAGTAAAGACACAACATGACGGGGGGGGCGGCATCTTATTCTTAAATAATTAGAGGGTGGTTGTTTTTCATGACACTTTCGCATCTAACATTGTGGTGGGCCAAGGCAGGAAGGGCTGCATTATAACGTCCTGCACATTGTTGTTTGTATGGGTTGCTTGTCTGTACATTATTAGGCTTGTGGGGCCATCCTTCCAATAGAAGGTGAGACACTTGGGCTCCTGAAACTAGTACATTATAATGCCATAAATATGCCAGTCCAAGTTGTCATGCCTTGGGCTGTGGCGGTCACAATTTCATCAGCCAGTGATTGTCAAGCAAATAACTGTCGTTCTCACGGTAATTGACCGTTTAATTAACATAAACACATTTAGCATCTCGGGCTTCCACACACAGCCGACAAACCACTGATGGAGACCTTTTGGAACATCTACATTTTAAAAAAAGTCTAATAAATCCATATAATATAGCCTACACGTTCACAAAAAATCCATTATTTATTTTAGACAGGTCTAAAGAAACATGATATGAAGAAAATGTAGTCTATTTCAGAAGAACAGAATAGCATACTCTGAGTTGTCCTGATCTGGCTATGCCATATGGCTGTGGGCTACACTAGTTCATTTAGCAGACAATATTTGGTTAGAATTCCGTGGCATTATTTTTTGGTATGAAGAATAAAATTGAACAAAGCTGAATAAAATGGAAAGGATATTTTTGCCAAACGATTTGAGGAGTGCGCACATGCGGCTATTCTGTGTTGAGCGGTTAACAAATAAATAGGTACTCCTATATGCTTAATTTAGAGTTATTCATGTAATTTTAGTCGTTCTACGAACGTTGGGCTATATGTTTTAGATTTTTAATGCATTGTAAGGCTGCATGGTGCGACTAATGAGGATTTGAAAAAAGTCGCTTAAAAGGCATGAGCTCTGCTTTGTTTTTTGCGCAGGCTGTACACACTTAATCAGTCTCATTCACAATTTGACAAACACTTGATAATGCCTCGAATTTCCTGGCGGCATCCACTTTGTGTGGCCGTAATGCACCCTAAAAAAGTCCATGCCTTTGTGCCCTTCTCTCTGAGTGCTGCATGCTCCGAAGCCCATCTTACTCAGAAGGTCCTCCTCTCACAGGCTACAAGTGAAGAAAGACACTTCGGGGACGCAACTGCGCAAGTCCTTATCCAAATCCGAGGTGCATATTGAAGATATTGGAGGAACTGTCCACATTTACTTTTCATCAGCCAACAAGATGAGTAGGCCTAATGAACAGCAAAAGCACTAGCCTATGTCAATCTACTATCCCCATAGTACAGAAGTTGACCTATTCTGTGCGAGAAATAAATATTCCAAACATAGTCTGGGACAGTTGTGGGATGTGATAGATCCCAAATTATTACAACAGCTATCATGAGGCTGACGCAACAGATCAGAAGGTTTAGCTCAAAATGTGATAAACTATTAGGCTATTTCATCACATTATAAGCTCAGCAATGCGCACACGGCAGTAGGCTATAAGAGCGAATGTTCCATTAGCGGAAAACACCATTATCAAAAGTGACCGCAAATGTGATTATGCATGTAATTATAATATTATAAAGGTGCATTTTTATGGTGAAAAGTATCTTCTCCAAACTTGAAACTCACACGCTGCTTATGTATGCCAGTTAGGGTCTACACCTCTTGTAAAGCGGATTAATGTACTGAATTTTTAAGAAGTTATTTGGCCACTTTAGTTGTGAAACAAACCTTATCAAAACATATATAGGCCTATTTTATTTTTATTTTACCTTTATTTAACTAGGCAAGTCAGTTAAGAACAAATTCTTATTTACAATGACGGCCTACACCGGCCAAACCCGGACGACGCTGGGCCAATTGTTCGGCGCCCTATGATACAGCCTGGAATCAAACCAGGGGGTCTGTAGTGACACCTCAAGCATTGAGCACTGAGATGCAGTGCCTTAGACCGCTGCGCCACTCGGGAGCCCAATGGGCTAGGCTACATGAGGTGTGTGACTCTGATTTTGAAGAAGTCACACAAAAAAGGCATTGTTTCTTGCCTTACGCTGGGCGTCATTCACAAGTGATAATATATCATTCACAAGTGATAGACTAATATTGTCACCCATCAGACTATTCTTGATGTAATCTTGTCTTTACATATACTAAATAATATATGTGTAACATTTGTTTTGATTTAGAATGGACCATGATCATGGGGCAGGTGGAAAAAATACAAGTCATCTATGCACTTAAATAGCGAATGGAGGACGCTTTTCCCGTGGTTCATTTTCATGCAAGCCAGGTAGGCTATACTCCTGTTGTAAAGATAAGCAATGTGTTTAATATTAGGAAAGTTGAGAAATAAATATAGTAGGCCTAGCCTATAGAAAGCTGATGGAATCCTCCTCTTTTTAATAGAGGCCATCACTCTGTTTTCTCTCGCAATTGCATAGCCTATAGAAATATTGTTCAACATGAGCTCATGGGCTCTCATTAAGTGTTTAATTAAATGTTTGAATACATTTGCATTGATGTCAGTGATTAGAGGGACAATAGAGTGCTGAGTACCAGGCAGTTAGCAAGTTTGTTAGGCTGCTAATGACCATCAGCAGCATCGGAGCTTGGAGAAGCCTAATTACCATGACTAAATGGTCACGTGGAATTTGACTGCCTTCATGACTCATGACCACTGGTGTTGTGGTAATACGGTCACCGCAACAGCCCTAATCATGCCTATGTACTTCAAAATCAAATTGTATTTGTCTCATGCGCCAAATACAACAGGTGTAGACTTTACCGTCAAATGCTTACTTAGGAGCCCTTTCCCAACAATGCAGAGTTAAAAAGTATGAATAATGAACACAAAAAAATAATATAATCATTACAAAAGTCTGTTTGTATTGACTGCTATGTGGGTGTAAATACGTTCACATTTGTTTACCTACTGTTGAGAACCAACCAATGACTCTTCCTATATATTAAAACAGTGGAGTAACCGAAAGGTCGCTGGTTCTAATCCCCGAGCCGACTAGGTGAAAAATCTGTTGATGTGCCCTTAAGCAAGGCACTTAACTCTAATTGCTCCTGTAAGTCGCTCTGCATAAGAGCGTCTGTTAAATGACTAAAATGTAAATGAAATATCTATCACCATGAATTATAGGTGATCGCCTGTCTTTTCCCATGGGAATAAGCATCTCAAGGAAGTGTCATCTTAGTGTTTGCTGCTCCCTGTTGAGTTTGCCTATTTTACTATCCTTTCCTGTCCCATCCAATTGTCAGGATGAAATAAAAGGATTCCAAGAAGCAACTCTGATTTGGCTCCCTGAGTGTGAAATACTCATTGTATTGGTCACATGCGCCACATGCGCCAAATACGCCAAATACAACACATGCGCCACATGCGCCAAATACAACAGGTGTAGACTTTGCCGTGAAATGCTTACTTGCAAGCCCATCTCCAACAATGCAGAGTTAAAAAGGACAAAAAATATATATTTTTAAAAGACGTAACACAATTACGAGGCTATATACAAGGAATACCAGTATCGAGTCAATGTGCAGGGGTACGAGGTAGTTGAGGTAATACAGTATGTACGTGTACTATAAGTAGGGGTAAAAGTGACTAGGCAATCAGGATAGATGATAAACAAAGTAGCATTGGCTCTATGCACAGTCACTAGACTCAACCCACACATACTACACTGACACACACATGCATGCATATTGTGGCGTCAATATGCATTTTTGTGTGTGTATGTCAGTGTAGTATGTGTGGGTAGAGTCTAGTGACTGTGCATAGAGCCAATGCAAGAGAGACAGTGCAAAAATAAATAATAAAGGGGGTCAATGTAAATAGTCATTTGATTAACTGTTAAGCAGGCTTGAGGGTAGAAGCTGGTCATGAATCTTTTG